TATATTTTGATCGTATTTAGGTCTCCTCTCATATCTGTACCCCTCTCTAACCCCTCCCCCCACCAAATTTCTGTACTCTGATACACATACATACTCACATACATAAAGGCCGATAGAGTCATGTTTGTGTCCCCAAATGCCCTTTGGTATAGGTTTACTCACTGGAGCCTGGTCAACCTATTAAGAATCTCACCCTTAAATGAGATTAAATCTCTTCCCAGCAGCCATTGGTTGCCAGTAGTTCCTCAGATAGGGTTGGAGTTTCTTACCCACTCCGCCTATTTATACTGGGATTTCTGGCTTACGGGGATCTTGTTCGTATTGTCAGCATTGCTTTGAATTCATATGAGTAACTGACCAGCTGTCTGGAAAACTTCTTCCTTGTGGTCATGCACCTCTTCTCACTCTCACAATCTTATGCCCCTCTTCTACAATGATCCCTAAGCCTTGAGAGGCAGAAGTTTGATATAGGATTCATATTTACGGATAAGCACTCTGCAGCTGCTGCACGGTGGCCAGTTGTGGTTCTCTGTTACCATCTGCTTTATAAGGAAGCTAATCTGGTGAGAACTGAGAGCTGCATCAATCTATGGGTATAAAAATAAGTCATTAGAAATCTGTTTAATACTCTATTTAGCAGAATAGTTGTATTAGGCTTTCTCCCATGGTCTGTGGACTGTCTAGCCTCAGTCTCCTAGGTCTGATACCAAAGTCAGGTATGAGCTCCAGCCTGTGAAGCAGACCTTAAATCCAATTAGAAAGTAGTTGGTTACTCCTATAATATTCATGTCAGTATTGCACCAGTGGGCATTTCTAACTTATTTTTTGAGACAGGGTCTCTGAACCTGAAGCATGAGATTCACCTATAGGGACTGACTGGCCCATGAGTCCCCAGGATCCTCCTGTATCCTCCTCCCCAGTGTTGGGGTTGCAGATTTGTACTGTTGTACAGCACTTACACGTGAATTCTGGAAATCCCGATTCAGGTCCTTTTGCTTGTGCAGCAAGTGCTTCCTTATTCACTGACCTAGCTCCTCAGCTGCAGGTTCATTTACCTTAAAGGGAGCTTGACGTGCTAGCTTCTCTTGGATTTCTGAAGTTGAATCTCCCCTTGTTAGGTAGGAAGGTCAGCAGGTATTACAGGTATGAAGGGCTGCTTAGCACTCCCCGTCCCTCACACCTTTCTGTTGTGACCTGAAAGATGGCCCAGAGTCAAGAACTTAGCAAGGTATAGACCTTGTCTGTGCCCTTCATCCTCCAAGGTACACTTTGATCTGATGCCTTTCTACCTGCCTGCCTTTTTTGAAGTCATGGTTTCATGTAGCCCAGGTTAACCTAGAGTTTGCTGTGTAGCAGAAGATGAGATTAAACTGATTGGCATGTAATACCACACCCTGCTTTCTGTTCTAGTTTCTCAGTCTGAAGTACATAGTTTTCTCTAAAAGGAATGGATGAAAGGTTTAATTAGGGCCTGTGGAGCAGGACACTGGGCTGGGTGATTCTGACATGACTCAGTGGTCCTCCTTTGATGACCCCTTTTTTTCTTTAAATCTTTTAAATTCCTGACTTCATATACTGAGTCCATTTAGTGATGCTCATATGTATGTGTGTTTAGAGCTGACCACTTGGGATTGGATAACCTGTCAGGGTGCTCATCTCTGATGAAAGCTGGTTCTTCCTCTCTCAGCACCCATTGACTCCCTGTAGTTCTTCATCTAGGGTAGGATCTTGTTAACTTTCCTTGTCCCTATTGCCATGTCAACTGGTGTCATTATGGAGGTCTTGTATAGGCAACCATGTTGAGATTTCATGGGTGCTGCTTCCCTGTCATGTCATATCCTATGGCTCTTAAAATCTTCTTACTCCCTCCTTGTGATGATCTCTGAGCTATAGGTGTAGGGGTTACATTGTAGATGTGATGTACCAGTGGGGACTTGGCTCTGTATGGTTGCTTATTAACTCAGTAGTTTGCCTTGTTGTCAATCGTAGTAAACTCCATCTGCTGCAGAAAGAAGCTTCTTTGATGAGGGCTGAGAGCTGCAAGCCCATGGCTGGGCTAGAGAGCCACTTTGCTGTGTTAGACCTACCAAGCCTGTATCCCAGATCCCAGGCTGACCAGAATTTCTTTCCAGCAGGAGACTACTGTCTGCAGCTCCTGTGAAGATGTCCACTCCAGACCCACCCCTAGGTGGAACTCCTCGGCCCGGCCCTTCCCCAGGACCTGGGCCCTCACCTGGAGCTATGCTGGGCCCTTCCCCAGGCCCTTCACCGGGCTCTGCCCACAGCATGATGGGGCCCAGCCCTGGACCTCCCTCCACAGGACACCCCATGCCAACCCAGGGGCCTGGAGGGTACCCTCAGGACAACGTGCACCAGATGCACAAGGTAGGAGCCTGCACACGTCACTCCTGTGCTCCTTCTCCAGACCGGCTTACCCAGGCACCTTATTGCCCCCAACACAAGGCTGCAGGAGAGCCATCCCTGGCCAGAGGCAAGAGACCTCTGAAGGAGGGAACCTGACTTGGTTCATACCCCACCCCTGGGCCTGCTCCTGTGAACAGAGGTCAGGCCATTTTTCCTTCTGAGCCAGGAGAAGTGAGTGGCTGTCCTGCCCTGAGCTGACTTATTTTTTCATTAATAAAGGAATATTGTGGGTTTTGGGCTTCACTCTGACCTGGTGGCCTAGGTACTCAAGGCAGGGCAGTAGGTGCTTGATCTGCTGAACTTGTGCTCCAGGCAGCTGTCTTTTTGTTTGCTGTTTTTGAGACAGGGTCTCCCTTTTTAGCCTCAGCTCGCAGTGTGCATAGACCACGCTGACCTTGATCTCACAGAGATCTGCCTGCCTCTGTCTCCCAAGTATCAGGATTAAAGATGTGCGCCACCAGGGCCTGCTATGCTGGTTTTCTGATCTCTTGCTTAAAGCACAGCCAGGGATACTGGCAAGTAGCTTTTCTGCCCCGGTGTGTCCCTCAGAGTTGGATGGAAGTAATACCAGCATAGCACACCAACCTGGCCCACCAGACTCTGTGGTGTGAGAGGATGTAGCTCAGGCTGGAGTCAGTCTCACCAGGCTGGCATTGCCAGCGCCTAGCACTCCTCCAGGGAGGGCCATCCCTGTGCTTGCTTTGCCCCCCTGCACAGGCCTGGTGTTCTGTTCTGTGTTTCACAGCTAGGAAAGCTATCTCAGAGGCCTAGATCCTCCCTCCCATCTGGGTGGTCCTTGTGCAGCATTTGTGCTCTACTTCCCAGAGCACAGTCCTTCCTTAGCTTCCTGTTTGCTAGGCTGTCCTGTCATCTCAGTGGAGCATCTATCTTGAGCCTTCTCTGGGGACTGTGGGTCACATGCATGTGCCCAGGTACTGCTTTACAGTTTCCTCCAGCATGGTGCCTGTATCTCCTCTGACATTTTCCCATCTCCACACATTCTACACTTCTGACAGGTGTCTATGGTATACTTGCCATGTGTCCAGCATCTTGCTAGGTGCTGTGGTCCTAGATGACAGGGACCCCTTCCTGCACAGACCTCATGCCATGCTGGGGGCAAGGCTTTGTGACTCAACACCCAACAGTACTGGGGAGCCTCCACCTCCACCTAGCCCCCCATGAAGCTGCACCATGTCTTTGTCCCAGCCTCTTCCTCTGTCACAGCAAGTAATAAGCTTTGGTATCAGTTTTCTTCATCACCTGTTGGCCTGTGAGTTTCTGCAGAGCAGGATGCTTGTTAACTGGGGCTTTACTCAAACATACAGATCTCAGGCAGCATCTCCTTCCCAAACACTACAGCATTGTGTTGGGGGTGTATCCTCTGCCAAGGACACCATGTGTCACCTCATCCCCTCATGTCAGCATCCTACCAGTGTCACCCTGGCCTCAGATATGGGGCATCTTTGCAGCAGCTCTTTCCATGATGGCAGCTGCAAAGGCACCAAGGACAGTGGGTCTCTGAATGCTGTCCCAGTCCTTGTGGGCAGACTTTTCTCCCTGGCCCTCTCATTTATAGTCTCCAAAGATAAGGATCTTCTTTCCCATATTCATGGTCAGTCTTAGCACAGGGACAGATAGCCTGGTTTCCAACCAAGACACCCTGACCAGAAGCTTTGGCGAGCATCCTTTCCTTGTGGGGTTTCAGTGCCTCCTGAAACAGCGCACATCTCTCCTAGCTCCCTCTTTAGCTGTCCCTTTACCTACAGGCCACCAACTCCCAAGTGGCCACCTTCAGATACAGATGGCATGCTGAATATGTTTTCTAATACCCCAAAGCTGTCATGACCAGGCCTTGAGTTCAGCCCACTGGCCCTGTTGGGGTTTCATTAGACACCGTGGCAACATTAGGTGGATGTGTCTGTGGTCTTTCCCTGTGGTACTTTGTTGTTCCACCTCTTCTGTGTCCTTTGCCAATCCTGTCTTTGTTCCTCTTGTAGCCCATGGAGTCCATGCATGAGAAGGGCATGTCTGAAGACCCACGCTACAACCAGATGAAAGGGATGGGCATGCGGTCTGGGGCCCATGCAGGCATGGGGCCCCCACCCAGCCCCATGGACCAGCACTCCCAAGGTACCATCTGGGTTGCTTTCTGCCTTGTGTTGGTCATGCACATGAAACACAGAACCTACTTTCCTCAGTGAGGCTCCACAGTTGAATTCCCAGGGGAGCCAGGACAGCTGGGCTCTGGAGACACCTTGACTCAGGCTGCCTGGGGAGGAGTGACTAGTGCTCAGTATGGCTGTCTTGTCTTGGAGCAGTCCTGGAGGACAGAACATGGATGGAATGGTTAATCAGCATGGGGTGTGAGATGAGGGCCCCACATGGTGGGCCCAAGGGCTAGCATGCTGCTCCAGTGGCCTCATGACTTTACCTTAAACAAGGGGGCTTTTCTGTAGGGACAGTTGACCCATGTAACAGATGACTTGTGGAGCCCTTCCTTTCCCCAGGGGTGGCCGGCTTGGGACCTCATGGGAATGACATAGGAGAAAGGGCCTGGTAAGAGGAGGATGTGTAGTCCACCCTGCCTTGAAGGAGGACAGGCTGGAGGGAGCATGGCTTGCTGTCTCAGCCTTAGCATTAACCATCTGCCCTCACTGAACATGACTGCAAGCTGCTCATGACCAGGTGGGCTGCTAAACTGAGGCTGTGAATCAGCTGCCACCCTCTCGGTGTGTATCTGGGCTTGCTAGATGGTGTGGCTATGACTTAGCTATCATAGATGCATGCTATCCAGTGACCACTTAACTAGCTTTCCTTGTAGGTTACCCCTCACCCCTGGGTGGCTCTGAGCATGCCTCCAGTCCCGTGCCAGCCAGTGGCCCTTCCTCAGGCCCCCAGATGTCATCTGGGCCAGCAGGAACCCCGCTGGATGGTGCCGACCCCCAAGCCTTGGGGCAGCAGAATCGAGGCCCCACCCCATTTAACCAGAACCAGCTGCATCAGCTTCGAGCTCAGATCATGGCCTACAAGATGCTGGCCAGGGGCCAACCCCTGCCTGAACATCTACAGATGGCTGTGCAGGGCAAGCGACCAATGCCTGGGATGCAACAGCAAATGCCAACGCTACCTCCACCTTCTGTGTCTGCCGCAGGACCTGGGCCTGGCCCTGGCCCTGGTCCAGGACCAGCACCTCCAAATTACAGCAGGCCCCATGGTAAGGCCCACATCCCTGTCTCTGGGGTGGGGAGGTGCTCAGTGTGGGTGAAAGTGGCAAGAAACCCTGACTCCCTGGCAGTACTTAGAGCTGCTGAGACAGGCAGGGCTCTGTCAGAGTAAATGCCCTTTCTTTATCTCCCCTGTACTGGAGCTTAGGGCTTGTTTGCAGTGGTGGGTGTGTTCCGTGGACAGATGGGCACAGCTGGCAGGTGTGAACATAGTGGTGTTGGTTTGTTTCCCTGAATGTAGGTATGGGAGGACCCAACATGCCTCCCCCAGGACCCTCGGGTGTGCCCTCCGGTATGCCTGGTCAGCCCCCTGGAGGGCCTTCCAAGCCCTGGCCTGAAGGTAAGTTCCATCTCTTCATGCCATGGCCTACTGTCCTGAACTTGCACTGTACACGTGCTGCAGTCTGCTGCATGCCTCGTGTTCCCTTTGTCCTGTGGTTGGGAATTGTCCTGCAGTCTCCTTATAGCAATAGTCAGCATAGGAGAAGAGGATTGGGTCTGTGATGGAACTCCAGGAAACAGCCAGGTGTAGTTGTGAGCACAGACAAGCTCTCTGAGGATAAGGTGCTTCTGAGTTTGGTCTTCTTCCCTAGTAAGAACACTGCAATGGAGGCAGGTGGTGGGCAGAACAGTTTAGCAGCTTATTGCTGGTGCTGACGACTCTGTGTGGCCTTGTCCGCAGAGGCTCCAGAGACCTCTGTAAAATTTAGCTGGGCAGCAGGTATTTCAAGGTCTACGTCTGGGTTGGGGCGGTGGACATGCCTGCCCTATTGGGGTGTGAGGGGGATCACTGAACATTGAAATGGGGTTTATTTGGACCTGGAGTAGAGCTTCATCTGTGGGAGAAGCCATCTAGGACCCCCAGTGAATGGATGCCTGATATGCAGATAACAGTGATACTGTGTATTTCAGTACACTACCTGTGATAAAGTGTAACTCATAGAGCAAGTAGAGATAGTAATAACAACTAAAGATAACATTGTAAGGGTGTTCTTGCAGAAGACCCTGGGTTCGAATCCCAGCACCCACATAGCACCTAACAGCTGTCTGTAACTCCAGTTCCAGGGGAGCCAACAGCCTCTTCTGTCCTCTGCGGGCATTGCATGATACGGGCACGCTTACCTACATGCAGGCAATACACGTATACACATAAAATAAAAATAATAAATAAAAATTTTAAAAAATTGTAATAGAGTAATCTGTTTGGGTGCCAGTCTCTCACAGTAGCTGGGACTGAACTTACCCTTGTGATGCTGTGCTGTGAGCCATCTTGCAGGCATTGATTTGGGGTGTAGCTGTTAAGAACAGCATGCAATTGAAAACTTAACAAGTGCTTGTTCCTGGAATCTTCCATATAATATATTTAGACTCTTGTTAACTGAGGGTATAAGGTAGAGACATTGCTGAAGGGGAAGGGCGAGGAACCTGGGGACTGGAGAGATGGCTCAGCAGTTAAGAACACTGATTGCTCTTGCAGAAGACCCAGGTTTGAATCCCAGCACCCACATGGCAGCTAACAGCTGTCCTTAACTCCAGTTCCAGGGGATCCGATGGCTTCTTCTGTCCTTCGTGGCCATTGCGTGACACGGGTGCACTTACCTACATGCAGGCAGTACACTCATAACACATAAAATAAAAATAATAAATAAAATATTTTTTTAAAAAAGAAAGGAACCTGTTGTTCCCTTGAGGCTAGGCACAGAAGGACTCAGTACTGCATCATGGATTAAGGTTGGGACACCAGAAGACTGAGCACGAGGGAGGGGTGTCTGGGTGTGGCCCGGGTGAGAGATGGGAGGGCAGCCCCATGGGCCCCAGAGCTCAAGCCGCATACTCCACTTACCTCTCCCCAGGACCAATGGCCAATGCTGCTGCACCCACGAGCACCCCACAGAAGCTGATCCCCCCACAGCCAACAGGCCGCCCTTCACCTGCGCCCCCTGCTGTCCCACCTGCGGCCTCACCTGTGATGCCACCCCAGACGCAGTCCCCGGGGCAGCCGGCCCAGCCTGCACCCTTGGTGCCACTGCACCAGAAGCAGAGTCGCATCACCCCTATCCAGAAGCCCCGGGGCCTGGACCCCATAGAGATCCTGCAGGAGCGGGAGTACAGGTGAGGCACTGGACACTACACTGTCCGCCGTGAGTGCCGGCACAGGAGAGCAGTGCCCATCCCAGCTACAGAGCTTGCTGTGGTTCCTCCCACACAGCAGTGTGATGCCTGCTCTTACAGCTAATTTACATCAGTTCCTTTCCCTAGGTTCAAATTGGTTCATTCCTGACATTAGCCGTTCACCCATGCCCAGTCTCCTGTTCTTCCCTCTCTCAGGCCCAGTCCTGCCCAAAGACTTTGCACAGGCTCTGGCTTCAGGCCTCGCTGCTGAGGGTACCTTCTCATAGAAGCCCTTCCTGGTCTCACTCCGTTCCCTCCCTGTTGCCACCAGTGTTTACAGCCTTTCTCTTAATGAGTCTCTGAGCTGGAGCAGAGCAACAAGTAGCTTTGTTGGCCCCATTCAGTGCTAAGACTCCACACCAGAAACTGCCTTGGGCACCCAGTAGTTGCTTCACAAATAAGTATGGGAAGATGGAGCCAGGGGGCTTTTCCTACATAAAGTTGCTAGGGTTTTGAGGAATCTCCTCAATTTAAGACACTGAGGCCCATGGTCTAAGTAAATTCTCACAGCCCTGTGTCTCACACTGGGCCTGGAATGGAGATGCCCCAGACCAGCTCATGTGACATGAGCACCTAGCTAGGTCACTATTTTGTAGTTTTCTTTTCTACTGCTATGATAAAACATTGACGAAAACATCTTAGGGAAGAAAGGGTTTGACTTACACTTCCAGATCACAGTCTAGTGCTGAGGAAGGTGAGGACAGGAGCTCCAGCAGCACTGAAGCAGTGACCATGGAACAACACTGCCAACTTCTCCCTGGCTCACACTCAGCCCAGACCTAACCTGCCTAGGGATGGTGTTGCCAACAGTGGGCTGGGCCCTCCCATATCCGTCATAAGTAAGGATAATCTCTCAGACATGGCCACAGGCCCGTCCAATGGAAGCCGTTTTTCAGTTGAGGTTCCCTCTTTCAAGGTGATTCCAGGTCGTGTCAAGTTGACACAGTCACCGTCACTCTGGTCCCTGCAGCCCTGTCCTTAGGAACACTCCAGCTGCTTGCCTGTGCTCTGTGTTAGAGCTGGAATCCTTTTCTGTGGTATCCTCTGACTTAGGGCTGGGCCGGGCCTGCCTCCCTCCTTCAAGGGCCCGATTTCTTCACAAGCTCCAACTTTATTTTTTATTTTTATTGTTTGGTCTTTTTGAGACAGGGTCTCCCTTGTAGCCTCAGCTGGCCTGGAATCACTATGTAGGCCAGACTGCCAGAGATTGTGCTGCCTCTGCCTCTCAAGTGCTGGGATTAAAGGTGTACACCACCACGCCTGGCAACAAGCTCCAACTTTAAAGACAGACTGTTGGCTCCTTGCACATGGAAATACCTCACCATCTGTCCTTTCCCTATCTCTGTGTCCAGGCTGCAGGCTCGCATCGCACACCGAATTCAGGAACTTGAAAACCTCCCTGGGTCCCTGGCTGGGGATCTGCGAACCAAAGCAACCATTGAGCTCAAGGCCCTTCGGCTGCTGAACTTCCAGAGGCAGGTGGGTCTGGAGGCCTTGGCTCAGGGGTAGACAGTTTTGTCTGCTAGTGGGGATGCCAAAGTTCCAAGAGCAGGGATCATCTAGGGTACCTGAATGATTGAAGCAACCAGGAGCCCACATGAGTTAGCTCACTGTCAAGGCCCAGATCATCCCTTGCACACACAGGTGTGGGCTTCTGAGGCAGCCAGAAGGAGACTCATAAGGAGGGGCTCTTCCTGAGGGTGCTGTGCTTTTACAGAATACCTCAGGAATCATGTTGGGTGTGGCAGCCTGAGCGGTCAGCTGTGTTTCCTGCTCTTTGCCTGCCCTACCCATGGGTGCCTCCCAGGTTTCCTGGTCCCCTCCAAGCAGTGAATGACACCCCTTCATGATGCCCACCCAACATGTGGTCATCCCATGTGAGTATCATCACTGTCTCCTTTTTCTCCTCCCTAAAGCTGCGCCAGGAGGTGGTGGTGTGTATGCGCAGGGATACAGCCCTGGAGACAGCCCTCAATGCCAAGGCCTACAAGCGCAGCAAGCGGCAGTCCCTGCGTGAGGCCCGTATCACCGAAAAGCTGGAGAAGCAGCAGAAGATCGAGCAGGAGCGCAAGCGCCGCCAGAAGCACCAGGTGTGTCTGCCACAGCTCACAGCCAGGTGCCCGCCTCACATCTGCACACTGCCTTGTGACTCCCTTCCACTCAGTGCAGCAGCACTCTGGGCATGCATTGTGTTGGTAGATAGGCCAAACAGGGGAGGACAAATATTTTCACTCAGTCAGTGAGAGAGTGGAAGAGAAGAAGAGCTTAGCCAGTGTAGACAGCAGGGCCTGAGAGGCATTGGGGAGGAAAGGCTTATCCTCAGTGGCTGGAAGAGTGAGGGAAGACCCCTTGGGGCACAGGAATATTTTGCTGAGTGAAGAAGCCAGGAAGGGACTGAATGACAGGAAAATCTGTAGTCAGGTGGACTTTGGGTGAATCTACTCTTTTGTTCTCATTTGTTTTGTTAGTTTTTTTCTGAGACTGAGTCTTGCTATGTAGACCTGGCTAGCCTGGTACTCCCTCTATAGCCCAGACTAACCTTGAACTCAAAGTAGTCTTGTAGCCTTAGCCTCTTGTACACCAGTATGCCAGACTTGCTTGGTCATTTGTGTTTTCTACGTTTTTAAAACAATGACTATTTATTCCAGGCTTGTGGTATAAGCCTGCAATCTCAGGGGCATCATAAGTTTAAGGCCATCCTAGACCTGAGATAGAGTGACTCAGTAGCAAAGTAAGCACTTTACTAGAGCACACACAGGGCCCTAGGTTCTGTTCCCATTATCACAAATATTACTTTTTAAAAATATTTTATTTTTACTTTATGTATATGCATGTATTGCCTGCATGTAGGTAAGTGCACCCATGTCATGCAATGCCCGAGGAGGACAGAAGCGGCTGTCAGATCCCCTGGAACTGGAGTTACCGACAGTTGTTAGCTGCCATGTCGGTGCTGGGATTCGAACCCGGGTCTTCTGTAAGAACAGCCAGTGTTCTTAACCATTGAGCCATCTCTCCAGCCCCCACAAATATAAAATTTAAAGTCACTGTTCAGTACTTATAATTCCAGCCCCCACCCCCGCCCCGGTGTGTGTGTGTGTATGTGTGTGTGTGTATTAATCAAGAGTTAAATCACTGTGCTAATGAGAAGGCTCAGGTAAAGGTGCTTGCTAAGCAACCCTGTGTTCAGTTCCCAGAATCCACAGTGGAAGGAGAGAGCCAAGTTGTTCTCTGCCTTCTACATGCATACTGTAATCACACAATAATAATAAAATTTAGTAGCCTTTCAGTAGAATTTAGACTCATTGGTCTGTTTTTCAGTATTGTTGAAACTTGATTTTTAATGCCTACAGTGTTTTTTTTTTTTCTTGGTCTTTTTGAGACAGGGTCTCCCTGCAGCCCCAGCTGTCCTGGAACTCACTATGTGGACCAGGCTGGCATTGAACTCACAGAGATCTGCCTGCCTCTGCCTCCCGAGTGCTGAGATCAAAGGTGTGCGCCACCACGCCCAGCCCGCCTACATTTTTTTTAATCTTTGGAATATGTTCCAGTTTTTTATAATTTTTGTTACTGTTTCTCTATTTGGGATCAAGAACCACAATTTCGGGGCTGGAGAGATGGCTCAGCAGTTAAGAGCACTGACTGCTCTTGCAGAAGACCCGGGTTCCATTCCCAGCATCCACATGGCGGCTAACAACTGTTCTAACTCCTGTTCCAGGGGAATCCAAAGCCCTCTTCTGACCTCCGCGGCATTGCACGACATGGGTGCACTCCCAAACAAGCAGGCAAAAAACTCATACACATAAAAAAAAAAAAAAAAAAAAAATTTAAAAAAAAAAAAAAAAAGAACCACAATTTCTTCTGCTTTCTTGAGACAGGTTCTCACTGTGTAGGCCAGGGTGGTTTGGAACTCTTGTTCCTTTTCCCTTACGTGTCCCAAGTGCTAGGACATTAGGTATGTACCACCACAGTCAGCTCATGGGCTGATTTTCAACTTTTCAGACTTAAAACTTGGCCTGGGATAGGTAGTCATAGCAACTGAACACTTAATATTATGTGGACAATATTCCTCCAATCCTTTTTTTTGTTTTGTTTTGTTTTGTTTTGTTTTGTTTTCTGAGGTGCTTAAGTAGAATCCAGAGCTTCATGAATTAAAGGAGTGCTCTACTGCTGAGCTACATCCCAGCTCTAGAGCTTCTTTTGTTATTTATTTATTTATTTATTTATTTATTTATTTATTTATTTATTTCTGTTCTCAGTTCTGTTATTTATTTATTTATTTATTTATTTATTTATTTATTATTTATTTATTGTTTTTTGAGATAAGGTCTCCCCAAGGCTGTACCTGGAATGGAACTCCCAGAGATCCTCCTACCTACGTTTCCTGAGTATTGAGACTAACAGAGTGTTGGAACTAATGACATGGGCTACCACAACTGCCATTCCTGTGTTTTTAAGCAAGCTGTGTACTTGGTTGTGTCTGCATGGGGAAACATTGCAACCATTTCCTGTGCATGTCTCTGCAGGAATACCTCAACAGCATCTTGCAACATGCCAAGGATTTCAAAGAGTATCACAGGTCAGTCACAGGCAAAATCCAGAAACTCACCAAGGCGGTGGCCACCTACCATGCCAACACTGAGCGGGAGCAGAAGAAAGAGAATGAACGGATCGAGAAAGAACGAATGCGGAGGCTCATGGTAGACATGTCTTCTTGCTTTTGGTCTCTATGTGCTCGGGGTATAGTGAGTGCTGGGTCCCTCGCTTAGGCCTGTGCTTCCATGTTCCGTGGCTTGGGTTAGAGGTGGGGTTGAGGGAAAAGCCAGCTTGGCTTTGGGATGCAGAGGCCTGGGCTTGGCTTCCATTTCCTCTGACCATTAGTGCAGATTCACTGTGTTCTCTGAAGAAAGGAATGGGATCACCTGCCCTGGGTCTTCTGAGAGCCACAGAAGGTCATAAAGGCCTCCCAGGGCTGGAGAGTGTCTCAGCAGTTAAAAGCACATAGTATTCTTTCAGAGGAACTGGGTTCTGTTCCCAGCATCCACATGGGGCAGTTCGCAACCTCCTGTAACCACAGTTCCAGGGGATCCCACTCCCTCTCCTCAACTCCGCAGGCACCTGTACACATATCTATATACGCTTAGGCACTCATGCATGCACATAAAAAAATAACGTTCAGAATTAGTCTAGCTGATCATTTAGTGATGATGGAATTGTTGGATGAACAGATAGTGACATCTTCCCTGGGTTAGATCCTGGTTTGTGTACTAGGGACACAGGAGGGAACAGAACAGTCCCATACTAATGTGACTTGTGCTGCCCTTAAATAAGCAGAACACACGTGGTGGAGGATAGAGACAGTAAGGTGGCCAGGTATGAGCATGTATGAAAATGGACTTGGAGTAGAGGCTGAGGGACAACCCAACACACCATGCAGAGATCTGTGGGAAGATCCCACCAGAGGGAAGGAAATGAAGCAGGACTCCAGGCACAAGATCTCAGGCCCTAGAACTTCGTGATACAGGGATAGGATAGAGTCAAAGAGCTTGTAAAGTCAGGTCACACGAGGCCCTGCAGGTCATTGGGAGGGTAGTGAATAGGTGTCCCGGGAGGGTTTGTGTTGTGGATTCTCCCACTCCTGTTCTAAAGGGATGGGTGGGCACTGCAGCTGGGGTTTGTGGGACCTAGATCAGGTGTGGAGAAGGACTGGGATTCAGGGAGTGTTTAGAGGACAGGGACTTTAAAACTCACTTAGGCTTTACGAATGGCTTGTGGTAGAACCTTTGTTCCTAGATGATGGCTTTGGGATCCAGCAGTGAGGAGGGGTGGACAGCACTGAAAGGGAAGCAGGTAGTGTGTGAGGCTCTGAAGCCCAGTGTAGGGCCGATTGCGTGCTTGTGATTGTTCCTCTGCAGCCCTCAGGGACTCTTGCTGCCAGGCTTGATGGGTGTGGCACAGTGCATATTCCTGCCAGCCAGTGCCCCTCTTGCTTTTGTAGGCTGAGGATGAGGAGGGCTACCGCAAGCTCATCGACCAGAAGAAGGATAAGCGCCTGGCCTACCTCTTGCAGCAAACAGATGAATATGTGGCCAATCTCACGGAGCTGGTGCGGCAGCACAAGGCTGCCCAGGTTGCTAAGGAGAAAAAGAAGAAAAAGAAAAAGAAGGTATCAGGTCCTGGCTGGACGCAAGCCACCTAAGATGTTGGGATAGATGCAGGCTCAGCGGACTCGTCCTTCAGGCTCTGCTTGTGACACTGTCTCTCTTACTTGCAGAAGGCAGAAAATGCTGAAGGACAGACACCTGCGATTGGACCAGATGGTGAGGTGAGGAAGCAGGGCTTTCCTGTGGAAATGCTATCCAGCCCTGTGTCTTCTCAGTTTGTTTTGAAATTTTTTTAATTGTTTAATTTGTTTGCCAGTATGTGTGGCATGGATGGCATGAGTGTGGAGGTCAGAGGACAACTCCTTGGTGGGGGGTGTGGTGTGGATTGGCTCGCTCCTTCTATGCTTTCCAACTCAGTCCATCATACTTGGCAGCAGGGGCCTTTCCCTGTTGAGCCATCTTGTCAGCCCTGTTTGTATTTTTATTTTGAGGTAGTGTACCATGTAGTCCTGTGTTGGCCTTTAACTCACCACATAACCAAGGATGTCCCTGAACTCCGGATTCACCTTCCTCCATCTTCTGAGTGCTGGGATTTGAGTCATATACCAACATGCCTGGCTTGAATTCTTTAAAGACTTTTTTTTTTTTTTTTTTTGGTCTTTTTGAGACAGAGTCTCCCTGTAGCCCCAGCTGTCCTGGAACTCACTATGTAGACCAGGCTGGCCTTGAACTCACAGAGATCCGCCTGCCTCGGCCTCCCAAGTGCTGGGATTAAAGGGGTGCACCACCACATGTGGTCTGTGTTGGACCTTTTCTGTAAACAGAGTACGTTGTCCATGTGATGGCCCTGTAGCTCCATGTTTTGGTGTGCATTTACTAGAGAAGCCAAGGTCATTCTGTGCTATAGTGGTCACAAACAGAAATCGGGTAAGCATACAGCACTATTCAGGGTTTTTTTGTTTTGTTTTGTTTTGTTTTAAGAGACTAGCTCTTGCTATATAGCCTAGGCTGGCAGTGAACTCATGATTCTCCTGCTTGAGCCTCCTGATTGTAGGATTACAGGCATTTGCCACTATGCCTGGCCTTATTTATTTATTTATTTACTTATTTATATTTATTTGGAGACAGGTCTTCTATATCCCAGCCCCAGGTGGCCTCAGGCTCCCTATGACCTTCAGCTTTTAAAAAAACTTATTTATTGTTATTCTACAGGGGTGTGTGTGTGTGTGTGTGTGTGTGTGTGTGTTATAAGTCAATTTTGTGGAGTCACTTCTCTCCTTCTAAAGGATAGCTTCCTGGAATTGGTTCTCTTCTATCATGTAGATCCTGGGGATCAAACTTATAATATCAGGCTTGTTAAGAATTGTCCTTACAAGGCTGGTAGTGGTGGCGCATGCCTGTAGACCCAGCACTTGGGAGGCAGAGGCAGGCAGATCTCTATGAGTTCAAGGCCAGCCTGGTCTACATAGTGAGTTCCAGGCCAGCTGGGGCTACAGGGAGACCCTGTCTCAAAAACACCAAAAAAAAAAAATCAAAACAACAAAACCAACCAAACAAAAAACCCAGAAGTGTCCTTACCCAGCCATCCAGCTTTTTTTTTTTTTTTGGTCTTTTAAAGACAGCGTCCCCCTGTAGCCTCAGCTGTCCTGGAACTCGCTATGTAGACCAGGCTGGCCTCGAACTCACAAAGATCTGCCTGCCTCTGCCTCCCAAGTGCTGGGATTAAAGGTGTGCGCCACCACGCCCGGCTAAGATTAGTTTTTATTTTTAGATTTCTTTGTATGTTTGTGGGGCTTTGTGCACATGCCTGTGGTGGCCAGAAGAGGGCTTCAGATTCCCTGCAACTGCAGTTAGAGGTGGTTTTGAATCGCCTGATAATGGAAGCTTGGAACTGAACTTTGGTTTTCTGCAACAGTGGCAATTCTTTTAACCATTGAGCCATCTTTCTTGCACCAAGTTGTTATTATTGTAGCCCTGACTGGCCTGGAACTTGTTATGTAGACCAGGCTGCCTATAGCTCACTGAGATCAGCCTGCCTTGGCCTACCAAGAGTGCCACCATGCCCAGCTCATTTGGCTTTTTAATACAAGATCTGTTAACTAGGCAAGTCTTGGATTTGTGGACTCAAGACTTGAAATAGCATGAGCCGTTTTGCCAGCCATTATTTTCATCTTAATTGCTTTGTTTTTCCTGTGAATCTTCATGTAACCTTAGCCTTCCAGGCAGCTGATGCTGTAGACATGTGCTGCTTTACAGTTGATGACTTCAGTTTTGATATAACTCCGCTTTTTATTTCTAAAATAATGATGGACTTGGCTAAATACACTGCATGTCTACTCTGAGTAGCTGCTGCATACTCCTAGACAGTCTCCCAGCTAGATTTGAGCCTTTGCTTTTAGTTCTTCTTTCAGAGAATGTGTTCCAAATGCTGTGTTGTGAAGTTACTTGGGGTGACTCTCCCCTTCTCCCTTCAATAGTGTGGTTTCTTTGTCCTTGCTCATTTCGTGTATTCATTTGGTTCATGCACTGCAAACTTGGTTCCAGGAGCCAGCATTAGGCAGCACTGGCCATTCTGAGAGGGTTTACCACCCACCCACACTGTTCCCACCACTCCCTATAGGCAGCCAGTCTCATTCTGTGCACCATTCTGTGTGTGTGTGTGTGTGTGTGTGTGTGTGTGTTTGTGCGCTCCTGGGGATTAAACCTGAACTCAATACCTTGTGCTTACTAGGCAAGCATTCTTTCTACCACTGAGCTAAAGTCCAGCCCTCAGCACACTCATTTGGAAAAGATGAAAGAAACAACAAAACCCACAAGATAGGTGAATCACATACCTGTGATTCCAGCACTTAAGAGGTTGAGACAGAAAGACCATAAGGCTGTCCTGGGTTGTATAGCAGAAACTTGTCTTAAAATAGTAACAAGAAGAACATGTCAAAAGTGTGAGGGGCTGGAGAGATGGCTCAGCAGTTAAAAATACTGACTGCTCTTAGCTGGGCGTGGTGGCACACGCCTGTTGTCCCAGCACTTGGGAGGCAGAGGTAGGCGCATCTCTGTGAGTTCAAGGCCAGCCTGGTCTACATAGTGAGTTCCAGGACAGCTGGGGCTACAGGGAGACCCTGCTTCAAAAAAAAAAAAAAAAAAAAAAAAGTACTGACTGCTCTTGCAGAGGCCCCAGGTTCAGTTCCAGCACCTAATAAGACCTTCCAGAACTCCAAGGGTCCAACACCCTCTTCTGGTCTCTGCAGACACTACACATACTTGTTGCACATATGCGGGCAGAACACATATCCATGGGAATGAAGCTTCTGGGATTAGTGCTGTGTGCCTCTGTGTCTGGTCCCTACAGCCCCAGGATTCCTATTCCTAGCCTTACCTCTACTTTTCATCATGGAGGGGCAATGTGAGCTTCTTGTTTTCTGACAGGGTGTCTCTTTGTAGTACAGGCTGGCCTCCATCTTCTTGTGCTCCTGCCTCAGCTTCCCTGGAGCTGGGATTTCAGGTGTGCATCCTCATGATGTTCTAGGCCTGGCCTTTTTTGTGTGTCCAAGAAGTTGGGGATCCTTGTGTTGTAACAATGGTTCTGTTTCAGCCTCTGGATGAGACCAGCCAAATGAGTGACCTCCCTGTGAAAGTGATCCATGTGGAGAGTGGGAAGATCCTAACAGGCACAGATGCCCCAAAAGCTGGGCAGCTGGAGGCCTGGCTGGAGATGAACCCAGGGTAAGTTGGGTATCTTGGTCTATTTGAGGCCAGGATTCCTTGCTGATGGGCACCTCTTTCCTGGGATGTGGTGGTTACCTTTGGTGTGGGCCAGCTTGCTGGAGTGAATCTGCTGACTGTAAGGAGGGCTGTGTTCATACATGGCATTTTGTCTAGGTATGAAGTAGCTCCAAGATCAGATAGCGAAGAGAGTGGCTCTGAAGAGGAGGAGGAGGTAAGATGCCCCTTCTGCCCTTTCCAACCCCAAGGACTATCCTCCCCATTTGTGCCTATCTGTGCCCTTTGTGCTGACTGGGCATGGTGTGACAGAGCATCTAAGTCCTGAGCTTGCCTGGAATGTACTACAGAGTTGTGCTGATGTGTATGAGAGCCACGTCACATGTGACTGCTTCTACTTGAGACGACTCAGCTTGAGTCCTTTCCTCAGTTGCCTTAGCTACGTTTCAAGTGTTCAGCATCCCTCCTCTGAACATCCTCCTCTGAGCTCCTTCCCCCTCCTCTCAGCATCCTCCTCTAAGCATCTGCTCTCTTGAGTACCCCTCCTGAGCATTCTCCTCTAAACACAGCTCCTCTGAGTACCCTTCCTCTAAGCAACCCCTCCTCTGAGCATCTTCTCTGAGCATCCTTTTCTGACCATTCTCCTAAACAACAGTCCTCTGAGCATCTTTCTCTGAACATTTTCCTCTGTGTGCTGCTTTTTCCCATTCCTGATCCCCAAGCACCCTATATGTTGTTGCAGCCGCTTGGAGCCACACAGCATTGTCCCATTTAACACTTCTGCTTCCTCCTTGAGATTTGTGTTCCCCTCCCTGGGGCAGGCCAGGAACTCCAGTTCATAATCCTCTCTTTCCCAGCACTGTTAGGCAGCTTTGCTTACCATTTGGTCCAGCTCTTCCTTATGGAGTTGTAATGTTAGAAAGGTGACTTTATCTGTTTTTTTGCTTGCTTTTTGAGACAGGGTCTCCCTGGAGCCCCAATTGGCCTGGAACTTCTCACAGAGGCTTGCCTTTGTCTCCTGAGTGCTGGGATTAAAGGCGTGTACCACACACACCCAGCTAGAAAGATGGATTTTGGTTTTTATATTTTGGAGTATTGAGGGCCACCTGTCAACTGTGTAATGAGTCTTAGGTGAACACACACACACACACACACACACACACACCACATTTTTGTTTTGTTTTGAGACAGAGTCTTCCTGTTTTGCACAGATTGGCCTGTAACTTGTACTTGTGTGCCTCCTGCTTCAGCTAGGATTGTAGCTGTGCAGAATCTTGTCTAGCAAATAACATTTTGTTCTAATCTTTTTTTTTTTCTTTTTTTTACTATTTTATTTACTTTTTTTTTTTTTTTTTTAATGTGTATTGCCTGCGTGTAGGTAAGTGCACCCGTGTCGTGCAGTGCCTGTGAAGGTCAGAAGAGACTGTCGGATCCCCCTGGAACTAGAGTTACCAACAATTGTTAGCTGCTATGTGGGTGCTGGGATTCGAACCCAGGTCTTCTTCAGGAACAACCAGTGTTCTTAACTGCTGAGCCATCTCTTCAAGCCCAACATTTTGTTCTAATCTTTAACAGCTTTATCGAGCTGTAACTTAAATAAAGTATATCTATCGAAAGTGCAGATTGTTTCTTAGTGTAGTCAGGGAATTGGTGGAACAGCACCTCACACTAGTGTTAAAATGTCTCAGTTACCCCAGAAAGCAACCCCTGCATCTATAAGCTGTTCCTCTGCCTCTAGCTCCAGAAACCCACAAAACTTTGTTTTCATTTTGAGGTTTTGTTGAGTGGGTCTCCCAGTATGGCCCAGGCTGGCCTCAAACCTGCCATCCTCTAGTTGAAGTCTCCTGAGTTCTGTAATTTGATGGGCACCCAACCTCTAGATTTGAACACCCTCTACAGATGGACTTAGGATGCCATTGAATCATCAGCACTGGGCTTCTTGTCATGAGGCATGTTTTTGAGGGTCAACCATGTGTCCTGTTCATAAGAACTTGTTCCTTTCTATTCCTGTCCTGTGTTTCATTGTGTGGCTATGCCACATTTTGTTCACCCATACACCAATGGATGGGCACTTGTGTTTCCATTGTTTACTATGATGAATAATGTTGTGAACATTCACAAACGTGTTTTTGTGTGGACATATGTTTTCATTTTTCTTGGGTAGATACCTAGGAGTGGAATTGCTGGGTCACATGGTAAGTTTATGTTTACCTTTTTAAGAAACTGCCAAACTGTTTTTCAAAGTGGCTGTACCATTTCACGGGTGCCAGTTTCTTCATGTCCTCACCGACACTTGGTGTTGTCTGTCTCTTCAGTTATGGCCATTTTAGTGGGCATATGCTGGTATCTCATTGTGATTTGGATGTGCATTATCCTAGTAGGTAGTGATGTTGAGCATCTTTTCATATACACATTTCCACCATTGGTATATCTTCTTTAATGGAAGTCTCTCTAAGTCTTCTGCCTGGTTTTAATTAGGTGGTCATCCTAATGAGTTCTGAGTCCTTTATTCTAGCCACACAAGTCTGACCCTATGTATAATTTGCAAATACCTTCTTCCAGTGTGTTTTGTTTCTCTCTTCTGTGTCTGTGCATGCACATCCATATGTCTGAGTGTGTTGGTGCAGGCACGCATATGCCACAGTGTGTGTGTGGAAGTCAGGACAACTTAAGTTTGCCCTCTGCCTTATTTGAGGCAGGGTCTCTGGTTCACTGATGTGTGCTCTGGGCTTGCTGGCCCACAAGCTTGTGGGGAATTGCCTGTGTCTGCATCCCATCTCAGAATCGGAGCACAGGGATTACAGAGCTTGATGCTAGTTCTGGGGATCCAAGTTTAGGTCCTCGTGCTTGCCTGCAAATGCTTTACCCACTGAGTTGTCACCTCAGCCCCAAAAGTTGTCTTTAATAATTTCTTACGGTCTTTATAGTCCTGTAGCATTGGTAGTGATGACTTCAGTTGGTTTTTTTTTTTTTTTTTTTTTTTCAAATTTGTCACTCAGTTTGTTGATTGATCTAGGCTTAGGTTATTGGTGTGAATTTGTTGTGCCTTTTAAATATATGTAGTGTTGAAACCTGGAAACTTTAGGTATCCTTGAGCTGCAGAACTTTGGTTCTGCTTTGATTTTGAGGTGGTTGCTCACTGTGCATAGCCCAGGATGGCCCTCAGTCTTGATAAACTCCTGCTTCTGTCTCCCGAGAATTGAGAATGTAGTTTTGTGCCTGGACACCCAGCTTCATAAAAAGGTTATTGTTCAATTTTATTTTTTCTCTGCTGGGGATCAACGCTAGAGCCTTGTTCATGCATTGTATAGTTCATAAATTTTGATGAGCTTTGTTACTGACTTTTTTGTGACAGAGTCTTCCTGCAGCCCCAGCTACCCTGTAAGTCACTATGTAGACCAGGCTGACCTCAATCTCACATAGGCCTGCCTGCCTTTGCCTCCTGAATGCTGGGATTAAAGGCATGCACCACCACACCCGGCCTTTAATATTATTTTTAACTTACTATTGTATATTCATATGATTTTTGTGGCATGAATGTGGGTGCTTACATGCTGTGTGTGTGTGTAAGTTAGAGGACAAAATGGGAGTCAGTTCTCCTTCACTGTGGGTTGCTAGCATTGAATTCAGGTTGTCAAGTTTGCACAATATTTACAAAACCCCTAAGCCTCTTGCTAGTCCAACAATCTGAAATGTTTTCTAACTTCCCTTGTGATTTCCATTTTTACTCATGGGTTATTTGAAAGTGTTATCTGGTAAGTTCCCAGTTTGGTTTTTTTTTGCTTTTGATTTTCCAATTCTTTTTTCTGTGTGTGTGTGTGTGTGTGCAGGCGAACATATACATGTGTTTGTGTGCATTTAGAAGTGAGAGATTGGCTTCAAATACCTTCCTCTATTTCTCTCCACTTTGTTCTTTAAAATATTATATTTATTATTTTTTTATATGTATGGGTGTATTGCCTGCATGTATGTAAGTGTATCATGTGCATGCCTGGTGCCCATGGAGGCCAGAAGAGGCCATCCAATCTCATAGAACTGGAATTAGGAATGATTGTTAGCCATCATGTGGGTCTGGGAACTGAACCCAGGTCACTTAGTAACAGGTCCATGTAATCCGGCCAAAATCCTGTACAAGCCCTGAATGGCCTTCTCCAGCTATGACTCTGTACACTGGGGAGCAGTGCAGGTCAGAGCTGTTTTCCCGTTTGCTGAAGGAAGCACCTTCCCAGGACCCTTTTGGGTCCCCTGTGCATGGGCATGGCTCTGTTATAGTGCCTTCCCACACCATGTTGCCACATGGGGGGAGCCTGGCAACCTTGTCTGCTGCCCTCGATCTTCATCACAGCACACTTGAGGTTGGGGGGATGGAAGGCTAGATGGAAGTACCACAAGTAAATGTGCTACTCCTAACACCAGCCCACATCCCCATTCCCCAAGAAGTTAGTTGCTTCTGAAAGACAAATGTTTCTCAGGCTGTGGTAAGCCTGGCTATTATCAGAGCTCTGAGATGGACATGTTTTGTCAGTTTTGTTCAACTTCATGTCTCTTGGGAAGGAAATTTTCTTACCTCTTTGGATTTAATCACAAGCCCTGCCCCTGTTCACTTCAGTCATGCTGTGATTGTCAGGTGACTGCTGCTTCCCATTCGTTGGCACGATCCTCCTGCTTGTTCTTAATCATCTGGAATCATATTGCATGGCCCTAGGGAATCCTTGTCAGAGCTTGATTAGAACTGTTTAACACATTTTTGATAGGAAAACAATATATGAACTGCACGATGTGGGTCAGACTTCAGGCACATTTGTGGCAAGTGCTTTAGCACTGAGTTATAGAGCTGGGCCTTTTTAAATTTTATTTTGAGACAAGATTAGACTCTGTTGCCCAGATTGACCTCAAATTTACAATCTAAGTGCCTAGTAGCTGGAATTATAGATGTACAGCAGTTACATTCAATTTTTAAAAACTCTCTAGCAGTTCTATGATAAGAAAAATCCACTGTGAACCTGTAGAATTGTATGATTTGTGCAGGAGCGTATGAATGCTTGATCCTGGGACATACAGTCCTGGGTACTTAACTGATAGAGTATGCACAATCCCAGAATCATGTATGAAATCCAAAAGAGTAACTTAGAAAGCCACTTGAGTAGATGGCCAAAGAATAAAGACCTGTTTTACTAGGGCAGAAGGGTGTGGAAGCTGCTTCTGATAGCAACAGGTGCCCCAGGACACCCTTTTAAAGACCTTGCAGGCTTCTGGGAAATCAGACCATTTATAGCAACTCCAAGAGACAGGACCCACTCTGCAGGGGGCGGGGGGGAGTGAAGCTGTAAGATCTGCTTTACCTGGGGGTATGGTACCCACTCTAGGGGAACTGAGGTGATATGGCACCTCTCTTGGTAGGAGGAGGAGGAAGAACAGCCTCAGCCTGCACAGCCCCCCACACTTCCTGTGGAGGAGAAGAAGAAGATTCCAGACCCAGACAGTGACGACGTCTCGGAGGTGGATGCCCGGCACATCATTGAGTAAGGCAGTCCCCTCGTGACCTATGCAAGCTCCTGTGAGATGGCACTGGAACAAGTGGCCAGACCCAGCCTTTCCATTGTGTGCTTGTTTTTGAGCCAGGGTCTCTCTGTGTAGCCTAGGCTAGCCTAAGTCTTCCTAGTGCTGGGATTATAAGCCTGTGCCACTACGTACCCCGCCCTCTCCCTAGAAGCCATTCCCACTGTCCTCTTAGCAGCGACAATGTTTGCCTCCTGCAGATGTATCTTTCTCCGAAGGGATTTCCTATGGGAAGGGCTCATTTGGGTCATCATAAGCTCACAGTGTACAGTGGGGTGACAATACAGAGCTACCCTCTGTCTCACCTTGTTCCAGTCCCGAGTGTCATCTTCCAGAGAGAGTGGCAGTGATCATCATTCAAATTGAATCTCTTTCCTTTTTGTTGAGACACGTGTATCTGAGTGCTCTGCTGTTGTCATGTTTTCTCACCAGGCCGTTTTATCTGCACATTTGTGGCCTGTGCTCTGAAGCTGGGCATGCAAGTACCTGTTACATTTTGCTCTTGTAAGCACAGTTTCAATCAGTGTGCCAATTTTATTTATTTATTTTTTGGTCTTTTTGAGACAGGGTCTCCCTGTAGCCCCAGCTGTCCTGACACTCACTATGTAGACCAGGCTGGCCTTGAACTCAGAGATCCGCCTGCCTCTGCCTCCCCAGTGCTGGGATTAAAGGCGTGCACCACCACATCCGGTGATGTCCCAATTTTTTAAAAGTTTTATCCTTATTTTTATTTCTTGTGAATGACCTGCATGTATGTAAGTGCGTCATGTCTGTGCAGTGCCTGCAAAGGCCAAAAGAGGGCATTGGATCCCTTGGAACTGTAGTTACAAATGTTTTTTAGCTAAGAACCAAACCCAGGTCCTCTGTAATAGCAGCCAGTACTCTTAACCACTGAGCCAGCTCTCCAGCCCTAATGTGCTAAATTTTTAAAAAACTTTTTTTTTTTTTTTTTTGGTTTTTGAGGTGGGGAATGTCATGGAGCCCCGTCCTGGAACTCACTATGTAGACCAGGCTGGCCTTGAACTCACAGAGATCTGCCTGCCTCTGTTTCCCAAGTGCTGGGACTAAAAGCGTTCTCCACCACGCCCAGCTAAAAAGATTTATTTTTATGTGTATGAGTGTTCTTTGCATACATGTAAGTGCACCATGTATGTGAAGACCAGAAGAGGGCATTGATTCCCCTGGAGTTGCAGATGACATGGGTCTCTCCATGGGTATTGGGAACCAAACTCAAGTCCTCTTCAAGAGCAGCAAGCAGTGTTAAACTCTGAGCCATTTCTCCTGCTCCCAATGTGACAAGTTGAACTGGTATAGAGAAACAGGATGGAGGCCAAGCAGCCCAGGTTTGAAAATCCAAAATCTGAAGTGCTCCAAATTCAAAATGTTGCAGCATTAGCCCAGCGTGGTACTGTACACCTTTAATCCCAGCACTCTGTAGGAGGCCAGCCTGGTCTACATAGAGAGTCCCAGGCCAGGGAGACTGTCTCAAAACAGAACAAAACAAAACAACAACTACAAAGTTTTGTAGTATTTTGGATTTTCAGACTGGAGATTGCAAAATTGGTGGGCTCTCTCTAGATTTTCCATCATCTGAAAAACTCCAAAATCTTAAACACTTCCAAGAATCTTAGATGAGCAATGTTCATCATCTACCTTAAAACAGGAGAAACTCAAGGGAGAAAACACCCATTAAAGCGTTCTCCACCACGCCCAGCTAAAAAGATTTATTTTTATGTGTATGAGTGTTCTCTGCATACATGTAAGTACACCATGTATGTGAAGACCAGAAGAGGGCATTGATTCCCCTGGAGTTGCAGATGACATGGGTCTCTCCGTGGGTACTGGGATAAGGGCTAGGCTTAAGGCTCAGCAGGTAAAATGAGGGCTCTGCAAGCAGCAAGCATGAGGACTGGTATGTATATGTAAGTCTAAGACAGAAGCTCACTTTGTAGCCCCAGCTGGCCTGAAACTCGCTGTGTAGACCAGACTGACTTGAGCTTAGAGATCACCTGCTTCTGCTAACTCCAGGTTAAAGTGACAGATCCTGCCTCAGTATATAAGGTGGAGAGAATGTGAAGAAGACTCTGGCAGCCTTGGCCTTCCCACACACTGGCTCATACACACTGAATATGTCTACACACACCTAGCACACATATACATGAAAAAGAACAGAAAATCACCCACTGATAAAAAAAACAGCAGTGCTTACTGTAAATAACTGGTCTGTAAAAACAAGAATAGAGAGTGCAGCGCACTGTGAAATGGAGGAAGTTAAATTGCACACATCTGATGCATTGAGAGCAGTGGAGTTCATGTTTAATAGTGGTGACTTTTAAATCACTTAGAGATTTTGGTTTATTGTTTGACTTTCTGTAACTGAGATAACATTGAACATGAGATACTCTTTTTCAAGTTTCATTTTATTTTTAATTATTTGTATGTGTCTGTGTCTCTGGGGGTGTGGTCTGAGCGCACGAGTGTGGGTGCCCTTGGAGACTAGAGGCCTGGAGCTGGAGTTACAGGAGATTGTGATATGCCTCATATGGGTGGGGAACCGAACCCCGGTTCTCTGTGAGAGCAGTTTCCATTCTTAACCACTGAGTCATCTCTCCAACTTCTCTTCCTCCTTCTTTTTAAATTTTGAGTTTGACTCTCACTATGTAGCCCAGCAGGCTGGCTTCATTCTCGAAATCCTTGTGCTTCATCTCCCCTAAGTGCTGGAATTATTGGTATGTGTTGCCATGCCACACAGTTTGAATCACTCTTTGAAAGAAAAATGAGGGACTGGTGAGATGACTCAGCAGATTAAGATGCTTGCCGCCAAGTCTAACAACCTGGATTCTCTTGCCAGAGCCTACATGGTGCGAGGAGAAAAACTAACATGTGCACCATGGCACATGCACACTCGCCCATACACGAATAAGTAAAAAATGTGTGTGCGTGTGTGTGTGTGTGTGTGTGTGTGTGTGTGTGTGTGTGTGTGTAATGGCTCACTCTATAGCCTGGCTAGCCTGGAACTCCCTATGTAGCTTAGGCTGGCCTCACACTCAACAGGTATCCTTCTGCCTCTGCCTTCTGATTGCTGGGATTAAAGGCATGTGCCACAATGGCTGGAAAATGTGTCTCTTTTTTTTTTAAACTCAAAAAATAAAATGCTTATGTCTGTACTACAAGTACTCAGGAGGCTTAGGCAAGAGGGTTACATGATGAGACCCTGTCTTAAGAAGATAAAAATAAAATTAAGTAAACAATAGCAAAAGGAATTTAGATTGGATCTCCAACTCGTGCAACTTTTTTGTCTGCTTACTTGGGTCATGTCCAGTTTCTCATTAGCTACAGTCTTCTGTCATGTGACCTGACAGCATCCATGGCCCATGACAGAAACCCACATCATCCTGGGGGCCGTTGTCTGGTCCTTATTGGGTTGGGATAGGTTGCCAACTCCACTTCAGGCCACCCTTCTCTGCCAAGGCATTCAGTTTTTCTGTTTGCTTTCTAGGAATGCCAAGCAAGACGTAGATGATGAATATGGTGTGTCCCAGGCCCTTGCCCGTGGCCTACAGTCCTACTATGCTGTGGCCCATGCAGTCACCGAGAGAGTGGACAAGCAGTCTGCTCTGATGGTCAATGGTGTGCTCAAACAATACCAGGTGAGGCAGTATGCAGCGGGGAGTCTCACCACACAGCTGTAGTAGCACATTGGGTTGTGGGTAGCAGCTAACTTAGGCGACTTGAATTAACTTTCCACTTTCTCTCTGGGCCATTCCACTCACTCTCCCTGTGGACCCAGAGTTTGCCCACCTGTGAAGCAGCTAATGACAGGTAGGTTAGATGCCAGGAGGAATTTAAATTAATAAGCAGCCAGGGAGCATTGTCTATAACAAGTGCTTCTGAGCCCCACAGTGCAGACACAGTCCCACGTGGCTATTCTGTGATGGGGATGTGATTTGAGCACAGACACACTCAGTCTGTGTCACCTGGTGCTGAGTCAGCAAGAACGACTTACACCATGGAATCGAGCTGGCTATACGAAACCCAGGCCTTCTGGACAAGGGAGTACCCTTCCTGAGGTGTAGGGTTCTTGTGGGGGTGAGAAGGCACCTCTGACCTATTCTTGGGGCCTGGAAAGAAATTCTCTTTGTCTCTGTACAATAGCCCTATCTCTTCTCTGAGGTCTAGAAGGGAGCTGGTCTCATCCAATGATTACATCTCCCTGATTTTGTTTGTTCTTGCCTTACTCTCTCTAAGAGAGACTTTCTGTGTCACATACCTTCCATAGCAAATCAGCTTTCACTGGAACTTTCCACAGGCCATTGTAATCAGAAGCTTGACAGTTTGCCCTGAACCTACTTAATCTCTACAGAAAAGGTCTAAATTTTCTAATGTTATATATAATCTGTTGGAAAACACCCAAGCTTTGAAAAGAGCCTTCCATTAAGAAAACAGTTGGGGGCTGGAGTAATGGCTCCACTTTTAAGAACACATGCTGTTATTTGAAAGGTTCTGGGTTCAATTCTACATGGCCACTAACAACGGTTCATAACTACAGTTTCAGGGGATCTGACTCCCTCTTCTGGCCTATGCGGGCATTGCATGCATGTGGTATGCATGCTAAACATTCATACACATAAAATTTTTTAAAAAAAAGGAAAGGAAAAGCAATTGGGAAGCCAGGTGTGGTGGCACTCATCTTTAGTGAAAAGCAAATAGGTGGGGTGCTGAAAGATGGCTCAGCAGGCAGGGCACTTGCCACCAAGCCTGATGACCTTAGTCTGATCCCTGAGACCCTACAAGATGGAAGGAGAGAACCAACTCCCAGAAGTTGTCCTCCCTCCTTCCTCCACACACATAAGAAATAAATTTCCTTTTTTGGAGGGGGTCTCTTTGAGACAGGGTTTCCCTGTAGCTCCAGCTGGCCTGGAACTCGCTATGTAGATCAGGCTGTCCTCTAACTCACAGAGATCCGCCTGCCTCTGCTTCCCAAATGCTGAGATTAAAGGCCTACATCACCACACCTGTCCTATAAATGTAAGTTTTTATGTGTGTGGTATTGGGGATAAAAGGGCGCTATGGTAGGCAGGCATTCCATCACTAAGCTACCTCCTCGCCCTTCTTTAGTTAATGTTGAAATAGCATTTAGGTAATCACTCATCATTTGATGTTTTCATCAGCGTGCTCTCCTGAAACTCTTAATGGTTTGGGCCTTGAAGTGTTCCATGGGGTAGGGGTGGGGAAGACTTCCTTATGTGTTTCACAACATCAGGAGGAACAGCCCTGAACTGTTGCAGTGCACTATTCACCAACCCTTACCCTAGCCCTGAGGATTAGAAGTTTTATGTACAGGGCTTGCTGTGTAAGTTTGAGGACCAGAATTTGGATCCCCAGAACCCATATAACAGCTGAGCAGGTGTTGTGGCCACCCGTAATTCTAACAGTCAGGAGGTATAGACAGGGTCCCCACGGGAAGCTGCTAGCTAGACTTGCAAAATTGGAGAGTTCTGGGATGAGTGTGAAACTCTGCCTCAGTAAATAGTCAGGAAAGTAATTGAGGAAATTCAGAGGGGTTGGGGAACACACCTCATACCAACCCCTCCCTCCACACGTGAGTGCACATACATTACACATGCACACACAGGAATGGAGAAATTTAGGGGACCGTCCCTTGAGGAGCCTGCACCCATGCTTGGTTGGTCATGTTCTGCCTCTGAGAAGCTTTTCCCCCTATTGCTCATGCTTAAGCCTGTTTTTAAAAATACCTTTAAAGTAAGGGGCTGGAGAGCTGGCTCAGAGGGTTAGAGTATGGACTGCTCTTGCAGAAGACCCAGGTTCAGTTCCCAGCACCCATATGATGGCTAACAACTGCCTGTAACTCCAGTTCCAGAGGATCTGACACCCTCTTCTGACCTCTACAAACACTGTATGCATGTGGTACACTTAGATACATCCAGGAAAAACATACTTATAACATAAAATAACAATAAATAATAGTCCCCCCAAAGAAGTAAAAGATAAAACAGGTTTTACATACAGAAATTCTTAGCGCAGACCCCTGTGAAATGATGACTATAGGTGATATTCCACAGGGCAGAATACCTGGTAGAGTGGCCACGGGTTTCAGGTGCTTGCATGGAACATGGCTATCACTCATGTAGTGGCTGCTCTCGTCCTCACAGATCAAGGGCCTGGAGTGGCTGGTGTCTCTGTATAACAACAATTTGAATGGCATCCTAGCTGACGAGATGGGTCTGGGAAAGACCATCCAGACCATTGCACTCATCACGTACCTCATGGAGCACAAGCGCATCAACGGGCCCTTCCTCATCATTGTGCCTCTCTCGTAAGTGTGCGGCTCCTGCTCCTGCACCTGAGCTGCCAGGGGTGCCCAGCACAGCTCCTTCAGGAGCAGCATCTACAACAGGTCTATTTTCCTGCTGGTCAGAAGTGGATGATCCAGAGGGCAACTGGGCGGGTTGGTCTCAGGCCTCTCTATGGCTGCCTTCTCTCTTACTTCTTCACACAGTCTTCTCTCTGTGAATGTGTGAGTGCAAATTTCTGATTTCCTGGGTGTGTGAAGTCTTCCATATTTCAATTTGGGGAATACAAGTCAGCCCACAGCTGTCTGCTGGTTTCAAGAGAATGGTAGGTGGAGTACTCCCATAGGGCAGCTTTCACAGGATAGTCCCAGTGGCTTTTTCCTGCTCCACAAGTAGCCAGAACCTCCCACTGGGGGAATAGGCCCTTTGTACTCCCTTGAATTCAGTGTGCTTGCTCCACATTTCATCTCAGCATGTACAGCACAGGTCTAGCCTCCAGTGTCCTGGTGGCCAGCAACTCTTGGCTCCAGTGCCCTTGTGCTTCCAGTAGGTGAGGATACATGTTCACTACCAATACATGTTCACTACCAAAAAGCCCATTCATTTCCCTCTGAGCTAGCCTGGCTCAGCCCAGGTCACATGGCACTGAACCACTTCCTGGTGTTGGGAAGGTCTAGTGTGTTCCATCACCTGGGCCTCTGCATTCTCCTCCTGGAACATGCACCCTTCCCTATACACCCCCCCCCCCCCCCGATCTTATACCAAGTGCATAGCCAGGGCCACTGCAACCTCCAGTCTGTGTACTTTGCAAAGTTGATGGATGCATTGAGGCCCAAGCAGGTAGGTGTGTCAGTGTGTTACTCTGATTTACACTGATGTCAGGGGATATGCTCTACCTACTTCATCTGTCAGTGGAAGCCCTAGATGCCACTACGGTCCAACACAGGACAGGAACTGTGGGTTCACTCTGCAGTGCCTAACAGGCCTCCTCACTGTCAACCTGGGAAGTCTTTGTTGTTTTGTCTAGTGGGGGTCACTAGGGCCAGTGGATGGTCCCATTTCCCCTCTTATTCGAACTCTAGCTGCCATAGTGGAAGTCTTGCCTGGCATTCCAGGGCAATTGCCAAACTCATGGTCATTTTAACTGTGCTACTAGGAAGAACTGCTTTCCTTAATTCTTTACAGGAGACCCTGTCCTTTTCTTATGGCGGGTTAGGACAGTAGTGGACTCAGTGTGAGGTCCCACATACTTTTCTCCCAAGTTCCCTTGTTGACATGTCTTTCGTTCCCGTGATCCAGTCCTGACAGAGAAAGTAACACTGGCAGTCGCTGGGTTTCAGTGGTTTTTCTCTGTTACCATTATCCTGTTCCAGGATCATTAGTTGTTAGGTTTCTCTAACCAACTCTGGCCAGTGATGGTTCATCCAGTTTGCCACAGGTTTGACTTTGACACATTTTTGTTGTTGCTTCTCTCTCTCTCTCTTAATATTTTATTATTTTTATTTTGTGTGTGTGAGTGTGTTGCCTGCATGTATGTGACTGCACCCGTGTCGTGCAGTGCCTCGGAGGTCAGAAGAGGGCTTCGGATTCCCCTGGAACTGGAGTTAAGGATGGTTCATAGCCACCATGTGGGTGCTGGGAATCGAACCCGGGTCCTCTCAGAGAGCAGTCAGTGCTCTTAACCACTGAGCCATCTCTCTAGCCCCTGTTGCTTCTCTTTTAAGATAATGTCTTGATATGTACTCTGTGATGGCCTTCCTTGAATTCAAGATTCTCCTTCCTCAGCCTCCTGAGTGCAGAATATTTTGTTTGCAGTGCTAGATGTCCATCCAGGGTTTCAGCAGGGGCTCTGCTGCTGTGCCATACCCCAGGCGTCATGTAGACTGGAGTTTCACAAACTCTTGATCCGCCCTAGATGGGTATCTGCCTAGGGATTTTCTTGTGCCTACGTGGTGCCTGTGGCTGTGGAAGTGAAGCAACCGCCTGATCTCCTCCATGTTGCACACATCATCCACCACATCCCACCCACTTCAACCCTGACCCAGAGCTCTGCTCAGGCAGACCTGCTCGGCAGCTAGCTGGGGACTTGTTCTTGCTTCTTTGCTGTGCTGGGTGGGAAAAAGTGATACTCAGCACACATCCAGGGATAGGGATCCAGAGCCTGCTCTTGCATTAGACTAGGGTTTGGTTCCCAACACCCATGTTAGCAGCTCACAACTGCCTGTAACAACAGCTCTAGAGGATCCAATGTCCTCTTCTAGCCTCTGCAGGCCACCTGCACATAGGTGCACATAAACACAGACATACCTTTTTTTTTAATTGGGCGGGGGGAGACTTTACATTTATTGAATAACTGGTGTGATCCAACCTAGAACCACTGGCTTGTTCTTTTCTGTTCTTAATTTGCTTGCTTGCTTGCTTCCTGTTTTATTTTGTTTTAATATATATAATGTGTATGAGTGTTTTGCCTGCATGTAAGTGCACCATGTGCATTCTGGCTGTGGAGGTCAGAAGAGGGTGTTGGATCCCGTAGAACTGAAATTACAGACAGTCGTTAGCCACCATGTGAATGCTGGAAACTGAACCTGGGTCCTTTGTAAGAGCAACCAGTGCTCCTAAGCCCTGAGCCATTTCTCCAGCCCCTATCAGTTTGCTTTCTTAAATACCCAGATATAGCACTACCCATAGTGGGCTAGGCCCTGTTATATCAGTCAACAATCAAGAAAATGCCTCACTGCCATGCCCACAGGTGGCCAGTCCGATAGAGGAAATTCTTTAATTGAGTGAAATTGAGTGTGAGGTTCACTCTTGCAAGGTGTGTCTGGTTGACAACTGAATCTATGTAGCACACACTGGGAATCTGACACCCTCTTCTGGCCCCTGGAGGTAGTGCATGTACATGGTACACTTAAATCCATGTAGGCAGACTACTCATACACAAAATAAAAGTAAATTTAGAAAAATTTAAAAAAACAAGAAGGAAAATACATTTCAGATGCCAGCATGTCTGCTCCCCTCAGGGATCCCTGCTAGACCCTCCGGTGGGCACCGTATGCCTTTGTTCTGCCCCTCACGTGTGGCGCTCTAGTTGCTTCTCTGACAGCTGTGTGTTGAGCTGTGTTCCCTAAGGCAGGGCCCAGGGCTCCTCTCGTCCTCAGCCTTGCCGTCTCTGGCTCCTGCTGTCCAAAGCAGCAGTTTGTGGTGGGTGGCCATGAGGCAGCTTCCCTCTGCACTGTGGTGCTGTAGGCAGGGTGCTTCTGAAACTCACAGGGTGAGAACCCTACTGCCAAGGTTGCATGAGCTCCTTGCTGCTCCTGCAGTAGGTGTGACCTTCGGTTGACCCTCAGCCTTTCCACATGGTCCCTGCGCTGGCATGCATTCACTCAATGGGTCCACCACATCTCTGAGGGCCCGCACACCTCCACCGTAGACAAGGCTGGCTGCCCAGGGCCCATTCGTAGCTTCACACTGCCCCGAGGTTCTTCCACCTGCAGCAAGGTGTCTTTCCTCCCTGGTCTGCTGGCCCTCCTCCCTCTTTCCACAGGGTGCTGTTGGACATACTTGTGACAAGAGCTGTTGGACAAACTTGTGACAAGACCCATAAACTTTGCTGTCACTGAGTATAGTAAACCTTGACTGTGACTGTCCCTTTCTTATCAGGACACTGTCAAACTGGGCGTATGAATTTGACAAGTGGGCCCCCTCTGTGGTGAAGGTGTCCTACAAGGTATGTTGTTCCCTGAAGAGGTGTCCTCATTAGGGAACACAGGTGTCGGCTGGGGTGGGGGAGATGGCACCATGTAGTGATAGAATGGGGCTTATTTGATTCAGAAGGGATCCTGTCATTAACAAGGTCGGGTGGTCACTTTGGTATTTTTGTTTGCTTCTTTGTTTTGGTTTTTGTCTTTTTGACACAGGGTCTCCCTGTAACCCCAGCTGGCCTGGAACTTGCTATGTAGACCAGGCTGGCCTCAACCTTACAGAGATCCACCGACTTCTGCCTCCCGAGTGTTGAGAGACAAAATGCTTCTTTTTGAAAATCAAGTTCTGGGCTCTGTTTCTGGAGTACTGTTTGGATAGCATATCCCTTAGTATAGGTAACAGTGAATCAGTATGTTCACTGGAGGAGTCCATACGCGGTGGAGCTCTGGTTAAAACCCCTGTGTATATGAAGGCAAAAGGAGCATGGGCTACTGTGGAGCATGATGCTGGGTATCCTGAGTGCTCTACTGGGAAGGGACTTGTAACAGCCATGTGGGCAGCGGGAGCTGAGGTAGAGAGGGCACCAGTTCAGCAGTGCATAGAGCTTGCCTGCCTCAGGTTCGTCATCAGTAGCTCTGTGTGTCTCAAATGAATTTGATCACGGAGGAGGCCCTGGCTCCCGCCACATGGGTTTCAGATGAAAACAAGGGAGGCAGACCAGGCTTCCTGACTGGGAAGAGGTCACGCTGACCATGGTGACTGTTGCTGGGGAAGTAGGGACCCTGGCCTCTAGCTTAGGGGCCTGAATTGGGGACCTAGGAAGAGGGGAGCTGATGGGCCACCAGGAATGTGGCTGGTGATGATGAAAGTAGTGCAGCTTCCCAAGGGCCCCTGCATTCCACTTCCCCATAGTTAACACTCTACAGGGTCAGAATAGGCCAGCAGCCTCATCGCTAGCACTGTCCCATACCACCTGACAGGATCCAGGATCCTAAGCCATGTACATCCTGTCCCTACAGGGCTCTCCTGCAGCAAGACGAGCTTTTGTCCCCCAGCTCCGCAGTGGGAAGTTCAACGTCTTGCTGACCACCTACGAGTATATCATCAAAGACAAACACATCCTGGCTAAGGTAGTGTGCTCTCACTTACACTGCAGGAGGCCTACGTTCAGAGTGCTAACGACCTTGATTCTGACGCCATATGTATATCAGCCCTTCACAGGGAATCCCACTGTATGCTTGTGTAGAGCAGCATGACCTGGTTGCTCAGCCTCCCCAAGCAGTTTCTAGACCCCAGTCTTACTGGCAGTGGTGCAAATGAGCATAAATGAAGAAATTCTGTGTCCTTACAGGTAGTTCTGGGTGAAGTCACATGCAGACAGCCAAGCACTTTCCTACAGCCTCACACAGTGTCTGCTCTGTCCACGAGATGTGGAGCCACTGCCCTTCCCCTGAGACCACACTCTAACCTGCCTATGTGCCTGTGTGCATTCAGTTGGAATGGCCTAGCTGTTAGCATTTTTCCAGAATGTTTCTGAAGCTCTTAAGGTGCTGCCATCAAGGTGTATCACTTGGAGAGAGGAGTTGCTGAGCACTGTCCAGCCCACTTTGGAAAGTTTAGTGCTTTCCTACTTGGCTCCCACCTGCATTTCTCTCCGCTCCATTGGAATAGAGCCTGTTTGGTGGCTCTAGCAGTATCCTGGTTCCACGCCTATTCACTCCGTCCTGGGCAGCCCTGCTGCCTCCCCTGATCACCAGCTCTCGGCCCCTCAGATCCGCTGGAAGTACATGATCGTCGACGAAGGCCACCGCATGAAGAACCACCATTGCAAGCTGACGCAGGTCCTCAACACGCACTATGTGGCTCCCCGGCGCCTGCTGCTGACGGGTACGCCGCTACAGAACAAGTTGCCAGAGCTCTGGGCACTGCTCAACTTCCTGCTGCCCACCATCTTTAAGAGCTGTAGCACCTTCGAGCAGTGGTTCAACGCACCCTTCGCTATGACTGGCGAGAAGGTCAGCTTGCCTGGGTGCTCACTCTGGCAGGGTGGGAATTGTCCACTATGAACTTCTCTACAGCTGCTCAGGGACGGTGTTCCTGCCAACAGTATGTCCATGATGTCAACAGAGCAAGCAGCCCTCAGAACCCCTGCAGGGCATGGCACAAACCATAGGGTGGGGGCTGTGGGTCTGCCCCCAGGCTCAGGTCTTAACCTGGGGGCAGCAGGGAGTTCAGAAGGGGACTTGGGGAGGGGGAGCCTAGAGAAATGGGTCAGTAGTTAAAAGTGCTTACTGTTCTTTCAGAGGACCAGGGTTCAGTTCCCACCACCCACCTCAGGTGGCTCACAACATCTTGTTAACTCCAATTGCAGGGGATCTAATGCTCCCTGGCTTCCACAGGCATCTGCATGCATGTGATCCACATAAACTCTTGAAGGCACACATATAAATACATAAATAAAAATAATAAATCTTGGCCGGGTGCGGTGGCGCACACCTTTAATCCCAGCACTTGGGAGGCAGAGGCAGGCATAGTGAGTTCCAGGACAACCGGGGTTACAGAGAGACACTGTCTCAAAAAGACCAAAATAATAATAATAATAATAGATAATAATAGATAATAAAAATCTTGACCTGGAGAGATGGCTCAGTGGTTAAAAGTACTGGCTGCTCTCACAGAGAACCTAGGTTTGGTTCACAGCACACATGTGGTAGCTAACAACTGTCTGTAACTCTGGTTCCAGAGGATCTGATGCCCTCTTCTGATCTCTGTATGCATTGCATGAATGTGGTACACTTATATATATGCAGACTAAACACGCATACACATTTTTAAAAAATATTATTTTAATTTTATGTGTATGAGTGTATTGTTTACAGGTATGTGAGTGCACCCGTGCCGTGCAATGCCACAGAGGTCAGAAGAGGGCTTCAGATTCCTCTGGAACAGGAGTTAAGGACAGTTTGTAGCCGCCATGTGGGTGCTGGGAGTTGAACCCAGGTCCTCTGCAAGGGTAGCCACTGCTCTTAACCGCTGAGCCATCTCTCCAGCCCACTCATACACATTTTTTACTACATGCAGGCAATACAACCGCATACACATAAATAAAACTAATTAAAAAAAAAAAAAAAAGATGTATAACAAAAGATCTCTGGAGCCAGGCTTTGACATTGTTTTCAAAGAACACCATGGCCAGAGTCTTGCTGTCTTGGCACCTTGGGTGGTACTGAGTCTGAAGTACAGGCAGGGGTGAGTGGTGGTCGTGTCCGTCAGTTCTGAGCCACCCACTCAGTGCTGTTCTCTTAGGGGTGAAGAATGTCTGTGAGGCAGGCCAGGCCTTGAGAAGGGGTTGAACTGCTTAGCCTGTAGTTCTGGGCAGAGTCTGATGACAACTGCTTCCCCTCTGAACTTCCTCAGGTCCCAACAGAAGGGCCTCCACTGCTTTCAAGGTACAGGGTTCCTGCCCTTTGTGCAGGCTGGCCCATACATGGGCCCTGGCGACAGGGAAACTAAGGTCTCCCCCGCCCAGCTTCATGGTGCTATAATCTTAGGTCCAGGCACCTCCTCAGAGCCAGAGTCAGACTGCAGTTTTGCTGTTCTTCCCTCAAATGAATTTCTAAAGAGGAGGAGCAGAGAGCCAAGGAAAGAACGGGAGACCTGTGCCATCTTAGTTTTCATTAAAATGAAGCTTCTCACCAGGCGTGGTGGCACACCTTTAGTCCCGGCACAGGCGGATCTCTGTGAGTTCAAGGCCAGCCTGGTCTATATAGTGAGTTCCAGGACAGCTGGGGCTACAGGGAGATCCTGTCTCAAAAAAAAGACCAAAAAATAAAATAAAATAAGATAAAATGAAGCTTCTCAGTCCGACAAAATGTCTCAGTGGATACAGTTGCTTGTTGCCAAGCCTCAGGACCCGTAAGTGCAAGGGAAGAACCAACTTTGTAGTTACCTCTGATTTCTAGATGCCCCCACATGCACATACAAAATAAATAAGTGAAAAAATAAAATGTTAAGCATTATAGCCACTCAACTGGAGAGAAAGGTACCCGGGAAAGCAGTGTTTCCTAACGTCAGCTCCCCCAGGCTAAGGGAGGGAGGTTGTGGTCCCTAGTGACAGCCGTCTTGGCAGTGCTCTGGGTCAGACCTCCTGCAGACTGCCTGGCTGGAGGTGGTCACTGCTGTGCCTGTAATAACACATTCATAACAACTTGGCAGGTTCTGGCAACCAGCTGCTGTGTGTTTTCCTGGGAGGTATGAGGAGCCTCACTTCCTGCTAGGGATTGCATGGAGCAAATCCTTTACCTCTCCTTTTCCCAGGAGCACCGAAGTACCAGCTGGGGCCCATGATGCAGCACCCCTTTCCACCGACCTATAAAGTCCACGCCACTTTCAAAAGCAGTATTTTAATTTTCTGTCTGTGCTACAGGTGGACCTGAATGAGGAAGAGACTATCCTGATCATCCGTCGTCTGCACAAGGTGCTGCGACCTTTCCTGCTACGGAGGCTCAAAAAGGAAGTAGAGGCCCAGCTGCCTGAGAAGGTAGGTGTGGGGAGAGGCTGTAGGCTGCCATCCATAGTATGGGTAAGGTGTAGAGAGAAGCCACCAGTCTCTGCAGCAAGCCTTTGGCCAGTGTGTTTGTGATTGGGAGATCCTCCACAGGCGCCTGGTCCTGCTCCACCCAGTCTTGGATGATGACTGAGCCCTGTCCGACTCCCACTGGCCCAGCTTCATGGACTCCTGTCCATGGCAAGAGCCCAGGACTGCTCTGCCTTGGCAGGGCCTTGGCTTTCTGTCCATTGTAGCTATGTTGATTAGCCCCCTTTTTACCCTTTATTTTCTGGCCAGCTGTGGAGACCCCTCCAGAATGTGAGCAAGTTACCCATTCAAGCACAGAATCCCCTTTCTGTTCATCAGCCTAGATCTACTCCCCAGTCTTGTGGACCTTTCCCCTTCACCCCATATCTACGCAGTGCTGGTCCTGAGACCCCAGGTGGCTAGGTGGCTCAGTCTGGGACTATACAGCCACTCAGTGCACTCTCTACCCTACAGGTGGAATACGTCATCAAGTGTGACATGTCAGCCTTACAGCGTGTGCTCTATAGGCATATGCAGGCCAAGGGCGTGTTGCTGACGGATGGCTCTGAGAAGGACAAGAAGGTTTGTTTTGGCATCCCCCTTCATCTCCTGAGTATCTAAGGAGGGCAGTCAAGAGCAGCATGAGGTTCAGGGCATGGCTTCAATGCCCAGGAGGCCTCCACCTTCCTGGCCTTCAAGATCTTGGCCTGAGACCCCAACCTGGCCCTGATCCCTCGGCCACAGGTCTATTGTCAGTGATTTTCAAGGACACTGACTTGTTTGTGAGACTTGCTCATGGCAGCATGGGACACAGGGGCAACCCCAGGAGAATTGAAATATTCTAGTGAGCCCCATTAGTTGGGTGCAAACCTCCTGGGTAGTCATCACCTCCACACCTTTCCACTTGGGCTGTTGCTGATGGGTGCTCAGACCAGTCCTCTCGGAGCTCTCAGGGTCCTCCACTAGCTCCTCAGCAGGCCTGAGCTTGTCCCCCAGGTTGACAGCAGTCCCTCAAATCTGCACCATACTAAGTCCCTTTCACTCCCTTTTCTTGGGCCCTTTCACACCTGCACAAAGCCTCATGCGGGTGCTCCTTCTCCTTCTTGGCACAGAGCCCCACTCCAATCTGTATAGTGCACACGGTGTATGTGCTCGGGCTAAGCTCTTTGTCACACTTGTTTCATTCATCCCATGTGCCGGGCAGTCTGTGTCTCTCTGGACTCCTCAAACACCACACCGCACCGCACCGCACCGCACCGCTTCCTCCTTGTGGCCTGTCATAAAGCACGGCCACAGATTGCTCTGGGCCCTTTTACCACCACCTCCCCCCAAGCCAGGGGCAAGACCCCAATTTAGAACCCTCTCCTGTTTCTTCCCAGGGCAAAGGTGGGACCAAGACGCTGATGAACACCATCATGCAGCTACGCAAGATCTGCAACCACCCATACATGTTCCAGCACATTGAGGTGGGGCCACCAACCCTGGGTTTGTACCAGCTTCTTAGGCAGAGCTGGACTGCTTGTGTGTGGCATGTATCTGCATGTGCGAGTAGAGCCAGAGCTCAGTGTCAGGTGTCTTCCTTTATTGATGTGCGCCTTACTTTTTGAGGTATTGTTTTTTCAGACAGGGTCTCCCTGAAGCCCCAGCTGGCCTGGAACTCTGCGGGCCTAAATCTCGCAGATTCGCCTGCCTCCCAAGTGCTGGGATTAAAGGTTGCACCTAATTTTTTCAAAGTCTCATTGAACCTGGAACTCGATGATTGGCTTGACAGGCTGGCCAGTGAGCTCCAGGCCCTGTATTTCCACCTCCCTAGCACTGGATTTACACATGTGGATATCCAACTCCTGTGCAGGTGCTGGGGATCCAAACTCATATCTTCACAACAGAGGTGCAACAGAGACTTTAACAACTAAGCCAACTCTCCAGGCCTTGATAGTTGTTTGTTTTCTTTTTTTGTTTGTTTGTTTTTTGGTGTTTTTGAGACAGGGTCTTCCTGTAGCCCCAGCTGGCCTGGAATTCACAATGCAGACCAGGCTGGCCTTGAACTCACAGACATCTGCCTGCCTCTGCCTTCCAAGTGCTGGGATTAAAGGTATGTGCCATAACGCCCGACTTTTTTGTTTTGTTTTTAATTTATTTTTATTTTACATTTATGGATGTTTTGCCTATATGTAAGTGCACTACGTGTATGCAGAGCCTGTGGAGGCCAGAGGAGAGTGTTGACGACCCCTTGGAATTGGAGTTACAGACAGTTGTGAGCCACTGTGTAGGTGCTGGGAACTGAACCTAGCTCTTCTGCAAGAGCAGCCAATGCCCTTAACCACTGAGCCATCTCTCCAGTCCCCTCTGATATATTTTTTTAAAAATATTTTATTTCTGGGCTGAGCATGGTGGCGCACGCCTTTAATCCCAGCACTCGGGAGGCAGAGGCAGGCGGATCTCTGAGTTCAAGGCCAGCCTGGTCTACATAGCTAGTTCCAGGACAGCTGGGGCTACAGGGAGACCCTGTCTCAAAAAGATCAAAAAAAAAATTTTTATTCTTATTTTTATGTTTTGTGTATGAGTGTATTGCCTGCATGCATCGTGAGTGCACCTATGTCATGCAATGCTGAGGAGGTCAGAAGAAGGCTTCGGATTCCCCTGGACCTGGAGTTAAGGACGGTTTGTAGCCGCCATGTGGGTGCTGGGAATCGAATCTGGGTCCTCTGCAAGAGCAGTCAGTGCTCTTAACTGCTGAACCATCTCTCTAGCCCTTCCCTCTGATATTTTTAATAATGGATTTTAATATTTTCGCGAGCCAACTCCTATACATCTGTGTCCTTTGATTTCTATTTTACCCCCCTTGTCAGTGCTTTGCTTTGTGTGTGTGTGTATCCTCCTGGGGATGGAACCGAGGGTCTGGGTACATGGTAGGTAATCTCATTTGGCACTGGCTGTGACCAGCCCTAGACAGGTACTTAAGGAATTCACATACTAACAGGTACAGAATTGAAGGTCCCTAGGGCTTCACCCTTAAGAGCCACCTCCAAAGTGTTTTTGCACCCCTGGAGTCACATGCATATGCCCCTGGCAGGGTTGTATCCCCCCTCTCCCACCCCCGGGTTTTGGAGAGCAGTCAGCTAGCTAGCTAGTCACAGCTATCTTGGGTAACCTTGCTCTTGGGGCCTTCAGACTCTTGCTTCTGAAGCGTTCGCGTCTGTGCTCTTGGTACAGTATCCAGATCATTTTCAACCCTATGTCCCTTGGACGTGTCAGGTAGGGTGATTTGGATACATCATACCAGGTTCCCACTGGTAGCTGAGTCCTTCACATAGATAGCATGAGCGCTGGCATTTGTTGTGCTGAAACATCCTCATCTGGCCTCTCTGCTACTGCTGCAGCAGCCTGGGCCGAACCAGGTGACCCCTCCTGCTCGACACTGACCTATTTCTTGTCCTGTTGCAGGAGTCCTTCTCTGAGCACTTGGGCTTCACTGGTGGCATCGTCCAAGGGTGAGAAGCTTCCCAGCATGGTGTGTGGGGGGTGTCCCCCCACTAGGAGACATGTGTACCCTGTGCGGTGACTTGGACCCTGTGGTTGATCCTTGTCTGGTATCCAGGCTGGATGAAAGGGAAGATGTGTGAGCTCACTGTCCACAGTCGAACACCAGTCAGCTTTCATAATGCCTAAACCCATGTCCATCCAACATACAGTTTCACACTTACCACCTGCAAATGCGTTTCCTGCAGCTTCTTAAGCATAAGCTACACTTCTCTTTCTTTTGGATTGTTGAGCTAAGGTCTCACCTGTAGACTAGACTTCTGTACCTGCGTAATCCAGGCTGGCCGCTACCTCTCATGACCAGCACACTGGGCTGCAGGCTACCCTTGTGTAAACCATTAGTTTTGGCCATTACTGTATCTCTAGAACATCACACATACTGAGAGCTTCTGGCAGGTCAGGCCATACTTCAGCCCTGCCATGTTGAGCCCTCTAAGCTTATTTTTTCTTGTGGTGATTGAGCTTAGGACTTCATGCATCCTAAGCAAGTACTCCACTACCAAGCTCATGACCAGCCCTCTTGATTGTGAGTGGCTCCATAAACTGTCTATGCTGACTTTGGTCTTACGACCCTATTTCCACAGCTAGGATTCCAGGTGTTCACCACTAGGCCTGGCTTCCAGAGGTCCTATTGACCTGTATGTCACCCACACACCTGCTCTGTCACTGTGACCCTGCCATTCAACCTCAGTTTCCACATGTCTAAAGCAGGAACTGTGGCTAGAGGAAATAAGAGGTCTGGGGACCACTAGTCTAGCATCTGGCTGGATGGCTGCTCTCTAGTGTGAGCTGCTTTAACTGGAAGGGGACAGGTCTGGCTCTGCCCATCCCGTGGGCATTGTTTCTTGAAAGAGCCATTTTTTGTACCTGAGCAGCCTCTTTGCACATCATTTCTCTTTTTTTAGGCAGGGTTTCACTGTGTAGCCCCAGCTGGCCTGGAACTCACTATGTAGACCAGGCTGGCCTCAGTCTCACAGAAATCTGCCTGCCTCTGCCTCCTGAATGCTAGGACTAAAGGCGTGTGCCGCTTCACCTAGCTTCTGGCCATTGTTTCCAATCACACTTCCTTTCCTTCACCCCTATGACCTATACTTGGTTACTGGTGATGGGCCCTAAGTGAGTGAGCTGAATTTAGCTGAAGCTATGGGTAGGGTCTGACTGGGAAGCCAGCTCTCTGCCCCTGAATCTGCCAGGTGACCTGGAGATGGCCACATACCGTCTATGAACTCACATGTCCTTCCCTTCACCTGCCAACACCAGACTGGACCTGTACCGTGCCTCAGGGAAATTCGAACTTCTTGATCGGATTCTGCCTAAGCTGCGTGCTACCAATCATAAAGTGCTGCTCTTCTGCCAAATGACCTCCCTCATGACTATCATGGAAGACTATTTTGCATACCGTGGCTTCAAATATCTCAGGCTTGATGGTGAGTAGTAGACAAATTGCTTGAGGGCTTTGTACAAGGCCCACATCCTCTAAGCCTAGTAGACACAGGGTCAAGCAGCATCACAGCCACCTTGATGGGGAGGAGTGCCTGTATGTGTTGGGATGTGGCTGAGTTTCCTGATAGCTGGCATCTCTTCACTGTGGTGCTGGGTTTGGGGTCCAGGGCACTGCAGTGTCATTTCAGCTAAAATCACACAAACCCTTGTCAGATGAGCATGGGCACTAGTGCACTGCTAAGACCCTGTGCACTGAGCACAAGGGCTCACTGGCCTTGGCAGAGCTACACTCAGGTGCACACTCTCCTCCATCTTGGCCACTCCTCAGATTTCCTACACAAACACACACGCATGCATGCACGCACATCCTAGGACAGCCCGCTGTCCTTTAGCTACTTGGCTGTGGCCTGTCACAGACCTGGTCTAGAGCTAGAATAAGACTTGACTGCACTGGCATCACTAGGCAAGGTCAGGTGGTACACAGGCAGCTTCGTCCCAACTGGCCCTGTGGTCCGTCACTGTATGGTTTTACTTCCCCACCCTTCATGAAGGAAGAGGCCCATATGGCTGATAGTGTAAGTAGTCAGGAAGGCCTAGACCTCCATGCCCCAGCCCCTGGACCTCTTTTCACTGAGTCTTCAGGGACGTGGTTTTGGGAACTGCCAGTCCGCACTTACCAGGCTCATCCTTCTGTCTATCTGCAGATCTTTACTTAGAACACTCTGACTAGAACTCATCCTTTACACCCATCTCATACCACCAGTCCCTAGTCAACAATGCCCCAGGACCACCTTCACATCTGACTGTATGCTTACCCAGCTCGGGCGTCAAAATGTTTAAGCCCATAGCAGTAGTGAGGTCCACATGTCCAGGTCCCCTTTGCACCGTGTCCTTGCTTCCAGCTGCCCCTCCTGTCCTTATGAGCACCATGACCTCTGATCTGCATGTCCTTGTCCCTTCAAGGAAGGGCCCAAAGACTTCTGCCTGCTTGGCCTCTGCTATGGGTGCCATATGTATAATGTCACCGCCATAGGCAGAAAAACTGATAGAGGAGTAGAGGAAATCCAGGAGATCAGAGAAACGCCATAGAGCTGTCTCCTCCCATGAATGACAAGCATGAGGTACAGCCTGCGGAGGGCTGCAGTGGGCTCCTCTGCTTCCCTATGCATGTGGCCTCTGGGTTACTATGGTGATTCCTCAGAGCTGGCTGCAGACTGAGGCAATTAGATTCCTGTTGACAGTCTTGTTATCGTGGGGATATAGGAGTGGGGCACCCATCTTGTCCTTGGCTAAGAGTCGTTTTTTCTTTTCTTTTCTTTTCTTTTCCTTTTGAAACAGGGTCTCCCTGTAGCCCCAGCTGGTCTGGAACTCACTATGTAGACCAGGCTGGCCTTGAACTCACAGAGATCCGCCTGCCTCTGCCTCTGCCTCCCAAGTGCTGGGATTAAAGGCAAGCTCCACCATGCCCAGCCGACAGTATCTTAAAAAAAAGAAAAAAAGCCAGGCGTGGTGGCACACACCTTTGATCCCAGCACTGGGGAGGCAGAGGCAGGCAGATCTCTGTGAGTTCGAGGCCAGCCTGGGCTCCATAGTGAATCCCGGCCAGTCGGAGCTACAGGGAGACCCTGTCTCAAAAAAAAAAAAAAAAAGCCATCCCGGGGGGGGGGGGGAACGCCTTTAATCCCAGCGCTTGGGAGGCAGAGGCAGGCAGATCTCTGTGAGTTCGAGGCCAGCCTGGTCTCCATAGTGAATCCAGGCCAGTCGGAGCTACAGGGAGACCCTGTCTCAGAAAGACCAAAAGAAATGAAAAAAAAACAAACAAACAAACAAAAAATAGGGTCTGGAGAGAGATGGCTCAGAAGTTAAGAGCACTTGCTACTCTTGCAGAGGACCCAGGTTCAATTCCCAGCACCCACGTGTCAACTAACCATCTCTAGCTCCAGTTCCAGGGAATCCAGCGCCCTCTTCTAGCCTCCTCGGGCCTTGCACGACATAGGTGCACTTACATACATGCAGGCAATACACTCATATATGGAAAATAAAAGTAATAAATAAAAATATTTTTTAAAAAAGATAGGGTCTCTTTATGTAGCTATTGACTGGCCTAGAACTCACTATGTAGACCAGGCTAGCCTTGAACTGAGATCCACCTCTGCCTCCCAAGTGCTGGAATTAAAGGCATGCACCACACCAGCCAAAGTCCTTATTAAGTGACCTTGTCTTGTGTATAGGAGATTCTTTCAGAACCAGAAAGACCCACTATAAGAGGGTCAAGCACCTGCACCAGCCCCAAGACTGGTAACTCATTCCCACCACCTCAGCCACCCGTGCTGAGGCTCTGTGTTACTTGGCCTCATCAGTAACTTAGTATCCAGCCATCATGTGGGCAGATTAAATGGAATTGGGAGGTCTTAGGATGGCAGCCGTGTCACCTGGATAAGAGCTAGAGTCAACATGTCCCTTTCCAGTGGCTTGTGCACATAGGACATGGCTAGTCAGTGAGGCTTGTGTTGGCATCATTCAGTAGTGACATACTGCACCTCCAAGTCCCACCATGTAGAATGCAGCTGTGGCTTGTGTGGCCCTGGAGCACTGGCCCTGCTGTCACGGTATGAGCTCTTCTGTGTCTCCTGCCCCAGTTCACCCTGCTGACCCTCTTTCCCTGTTCCTATCAGGAACCACAAAAGCGGAGGACCGGGGCATGCTGCTGAAAACTTTCAATGAACCTGGCTCTGAGTACTTCATCTTCCTGCTCAGCACCCGTGCTGGGGGCCTGGGCCTCAACCTGCAGTCGGCAGACACTGTGATCATATTTGACAGCGACTGGAACCCCCACCAGGTAAAAGCACTGGGGCCTAGAGTGGAGGAAAGGAGACATCACTCTCCACTGTTCCTCCTTCATGCACTCCCATAGCCTGGGAGCTGTGGAAACTGTACTTATTAGCCCAAGGTGGTCCAGGAACAGAGCCCAACAGGTTATTTCTCCTGTTTCTCAAAGTGGCAATATTTATGTGTCACTTAGGGACACTTTTTCCAGTGATAGACTTTTTTTTCATTCCTGGCCAGGTGTAAGGAGTCACAAGCCTAGTGATAGAGCACTTGTCTGTCACTTGTGGTGCTCTCTCTGGGTTTCTCTCTGGTGCTCTCTCTGGGAAGAAAGTAGGAGACTTGCCCAGTCATACCAAAGATGATCACTGTTAACTGGATACAGCCCTGCCAGACCCAGGCAAACCCTGTGCTCTGCTCACTCTCTCTTCCTCCCTTATTACATGTGCCCTAATCACAGCCAGGACATGCTGTTTCATACACCTAATAATGGTTTGAAAATGGTACAATTTTGCCCTATCTTATTTTATAAGGCACTATATTCTCAGTTTAGTTCAACAGTACAATTACCAATATGCAAAGTGAAGAGGTGTCCCAGTCCCATCACTCCCCATCTGTTAGGCATGCACACAGGTGTGGCCTTTGAGGTAGTGTGGTGCATTCCAGCGTACAACTGTCTATTTAGCAGTCATTGTTGGTCAGTTTTTCAGAGGACACGTGAAGCTACCTGGCTGTCCCCTCTGTTGCAGGGGTTTGAAAATCTGACAGCCCCAATACGTTTTCCCTCAATCCCAGTGGACAGGTGCCTTGAATATTCTGTGTATCCAGTGACCACCAACCCCTAGGGAACCTTGCTAGTCTCTCTCATGGCACCTGTGCAAGGACCTTCGATCACTTTAGTCCTAAACAGCAGCCACAAGAGCATCCTTTTCATATGCTGGTTGCTGTGTGCAACCGGCTCTTCCTGCCCATGGTTTCCAGCATATCCTTTCCCCAGCCTACCAAGTCCAGTGCAAATTGTCTGATGTATAAATGACCTATGTAGTTACTGTGTCCGTATATTGAGTCTGGGTATACCTCTTACCCAGACCCTATGGATTGGCCATTTCCTGAGAAATGGTCAGGTAGTGACAGTAGTCAAGCAGAGCCACTGAAGTCAAGAGAACACCATGCATCCACATAGTGAATGCTAAGGCACAGAGACATTAGGCCAGGCCCAGGCTACCAACTACACAAGAGCCAGAGCCACAGCCAGGCAGGATGCCAACACAGCACTATGAAGGGTGTCCATATTGTGACACAGCCCAACTTTGGAACAAAGATAGGTGTTGCTCAAAACATAACCCTACTGGTTTTCCTCTGTAAGCATCTGGGGCTGGAGTGGTTAAGAGCACTGGCTGCTCTTGCAGAGAACCCAGGTTCACTTCCTAGGACCCACATGGCAGCTCATAACTGTCTTTAACTCCAGTTCCAGGGGATCTGACACTCCCTTCTGGCCTCCATGGGCATTGCATACATGTGGTGTACTTACACACAAAACACTAATACGCATAAAAGAAAAATAATTTTTTACAAGAAGAGCACAGGATTACAAATAAAATAAATCGGGGCTGGAGAGATAGCTCAGCGGTTAAGAGGATTGGTTGCTCCAGATGATCCAGCACCACATGGTGGCTAACAACCATCTGTAACTCCAGTTCTAGGGGATCCGATCTAGTCTTCTAATCTTTGCGGACATTGTACAACCCAGCTGCACTTAGCACATACAGGCAATACAGCCATACACATAAAATAAAAATAAATCTTATGCCGGGTGTGGTGGCACATGCCTTTAATCCCAGCACTTGGGAGGCAGGGGCAGGCAGGTCTCTGTGAGTTCAAGGCCAGCCTGGTCTACATAGTGAGTTCCAGGACAGCTGGGGCTACAGGGAGACCCTAAATAAATAAATCTTATAGCCAGGCCTGGTGGCACACACCTGTAGTCCCAGCACTTGGGAGGCAGAGGCAGGTGGATCTCTGTGAGTTCAAGGCCAGCCTGGTCTACATAGTGAGTTCCAGGCCAGCTGGGGATACAGGGAGACCCTGCTTCAAAAAGACAAAAAATAAAAAATAAATAAAATAAATCTTACAGGGTTGGAGAGATGGCTCAGCAATTAAGAACTTAGTTCCCAGCACCCACATGGCGGCTCACAGCAGTCTAACTCCAGTTCTGAACAATCTGACACCCTCTTCTGACCTACACAGGCATTGCTCATGCATGCTGCACTTAAATATATGCAGACCCATACGCATAAATAAAATTTAAAAATAAGATTAAGTAAATAAATAAAATAAGCCTTTAAAAAGGAAAAAAAAAGTATCCATCAGGCCCTTAGTACAGGTGACTAGCGTTACTGTTAGTTCCTTACTCATGAAGCTACTGGTTCTGGTGGGCGGAAGGCCAGGCCAGCAGCATGTGTGGCCCAGAAGTCCAAGGCTCTGAGTCTTATTCCTGGAAGAGTCATTGTGGACTGACACAGCTCCTCTGTCCAGGACCTGCAAGCACAGGACCGTGCCCACCGCATTGGTCAGCAGAATGAGGTGCGCGTGCTCCGCCTCTGCACGGTCAACAGCGTGGAGGAAAAGATCCTGGCTGCCGCTAAATACAAGCTTAATGTGGACCAGAAGGTGATCCAGGCAGGCATGTTCGACCAGAAGTCATCAAGCCACGAGCGGCGTGCCTTCCTGCAGGCCATTCTGGAGCACGAGGAGCAGGACGAGGTGAGCACAGCACCAGCCCCTCCCTGTGTGAGTGGTGGACGCATGAGCGGCTTCATTTTTGGTTTCGTACCTTTTTTGCATTCTTGGTTTTTTGTTTTTTGTTTTTTTCTTTTTTCTTTTTTTTCTTTTTTTGCATCCCTTTGGAGTAAAGGGAGTATGGACTGAGCGGAAAGAGATGAACACTTGCTTTCCCTTTGAAGTGGTTTTTTAACTGCTGCTGACAGAGGCCGGCTTGACAGCCCTGGAGACTGAAGCCCTCTATCTATCCACAGAGCAGACACAGCAGCACGGGCAGCGGCAGTGCCAGCTTCGCCCACACTGCCCCTCCGCCAGCGGGCGTCAACCCCGACCTGGAGGAGCCACCTCTAAAGGTGAGAGGGGTAGTTCAGTCTCCACGCCCACTCAATCCTCAGCTTATTGCTGAGAATGCCCAGCAAGGGCCTAACCCCACGGAGTGTGCGTGTGCGTATGTGTGTGCCTCTCGCTGTCATGTGGGACCCTCCACTGCAGCCGGCCCAGGACCGTCAGCTCATCTCCCACGGTCGCCACCGCCCAGCCCAGCCTCACCACAGTCACACTAAAGCTTTGCAATCTTGTAGGAGGAAGATGAGGTGCCTGACGATGAGACAGTCAACCAGATGATCGCCCGGCACGAGGAGGAGTTTGACCTTTTCATGGTAAGCAGCCGGCCTTCAACCCACTCAGGGTCTCAGTGGTCATGTGACACCCCCAGTAACTCACACAACTGGTGTTTTCCATGGGCTTGGCTCACTCATGCCTCCAACTTACCCATCTGTCTCCCCTGGACTCTGAGTATATCGTGGGGACAGCAGAACACCACTGCCCTCGTTCTATATGTGACCCTCACACCCTGTGGACAGTAAGCCCAAGATCTTTCCCTTTCTAGGGGAGCTGAGCAGGCACTGTAGGGCCAGGGGGCTGTCAACAGCTTTGGCCACAGATCCCCTATGCGACTGGGTGCTGGCGTGAGTTCTGGTAGGACCCTTTCAGCCCAGGAAGCCTGGTATCTTCCTCCAAGGCTGTGCCGTAGACATGCTGCCTTGAATGATTGACTAGGGTCCCCTAGGGCAGAACCTTCACTAGGGTCTGCATTAGCAGGCAGATCAGTTCCCAGATTGAAACTCCTCTGTATGTCCACAGTGCCACACATCCCTGCAGGCAGTGAACTGGCCCTGGGAGGCTCTCAGTGCCTTTGGCCCAGCCATGCTAACTTCTCTCTCCCTTTGTCCACCCCGCACCACAGCGCATGGACCTGGACCGCCGGCGTGAAGAGGCCCGCAACCCTAAGCGGAAGCCACGCCTGATGGAGGAGGATGAACTCCCTTCTTGGATTATTAAGGATGATGCCGAGGTAGAACGGCTCACCTGTGAGGAGGAGGAAGAGAAGATGTTTGGGCGTGGCTCCCGCCATCGCAAGGAGGTGGACTACAGTGATTCGCTGACAGAGAAGCAGTGGCTCAAGGTACATGCCAGAGAGGGCCACAGCTACAGTCCAAGCCAGGCAGGGCTGGGAGCAGAGGGCAGGCCACCTGGGCCCATCCCAGCTGGTGCCTTCCCATATTGCTGGCTCCTTTAGCAGACATGGGGCTTCTGACAGGCCCAGGGACATCTGTCCTGTCTCCATCACTGCCACAGAGAACAGATAAGCTGTTGCTGAGCTCTCGTGGGCCCTCTTAAGTACAAGAGCTTTAGTTCTTCATCAGGCTGGCTGTAGTGAGAGACCCCAATAAACGATCAACGAGTTACCCTAAAGTCAGCCAGCAGCAGGCTCCTTGTCTGGCTGTGAAGAAAGCTAAGGGTTCACATCCTTACCTGTTTTAAGCTTCCTGTTCTAGGCACAGACTGGCAGATGGCAGCAGACAGGTCAGAGCTGAGTGATACCATGCATCCTTCTGACATGAGCTCTTCCTAGCCTAGGGGCATTGTGCCGAGTGCCTGGCATCAAGGTTGGCATTGCTCTTAGAAGCATAAACCCTGAGCTGGGCGTGGTAGCGCACTCCTGTAATCCCAGCACTCAGGAGGCAGAGGCAGGCAGGCAGATCTCTGTGAGTTCAAGGCCAGCCTGGTCTACAAAGTGAGTTCCAGGCCATTTGGGGCTACAGGGAGACCCTGTCTCAAAAAGATGAAAGAAAGAGAGAGAGAGAGAGAGAGAGAGAGAGAGAGAGAGAGAGAGAAAGAAAGAAAAAGAAAGAACAAAAGGCAGCACAAAAGGCAGCATAACCCCGGGAAGTAGCTCTTCCGGAAAGCAGGTGGCAACCATTGGCCACACTGTGTGATGCCATGCCCAGGAATGAGCCATGTGGCCCTGCTCTGCTGCAGAATAGCCCCAGCCCCTCCTCGTCCACTATGCCTGCCCCATGCACTGTATGTCCGTGGGAGGTGTAGCACACCTGGAAAGCTGGTGTGGGAATGCAGGCCTGTAATCCCAACTCTCAGGATACTGAGGCAGGAGGCTGCCAAGAGTTTAAGGGCAGCCTGGACTACATGGCAAGACTTTTGTTTCAAAGAAACCGGTCATGGAGTTGGCAAACCTTAGGATGGGGCACTAGTCCTCAGAATACTCCAGAACCAGAATAGGAACCGCAAGAAAGATGTGGGCTCAGCTGCCCGCCAGTACTCAGCAGGGCTGTCACTACTGGGGGAGTGTCACTGCTCTGTGTCTACAAAGCACTGAATGGCTTTCAGTTAAAATTAGCCTATCTGCTGAGTTTTGTGTGCAAATTGTTTTGGTCTTTTTGAGACAGGGTCTCCCTGTAATCCTAGCTGGCCTGGAACTTGCCATGTAGACCAGATTGGCCTTGAACTCACAGAGATGTACCTACCTCTGCCTCCCTAGTGCTAGGGTTAAAGTTTGTGCCACCATGCGCAGTTTGTGTGCAGATTTTTGAGATGTGGTTTTGATACCACAGGCAGCACACTTTGAAGATATCCCGCCAGAGCCTGGCAGCACCCACTGTCAGTATCACTTTGTAAATTAAAGCCCTGCTCTGCCTAGCAGGCTTTGTTATCACCTTTGATCTCCTTGCCTGGGCCACCACCACCCCAATTCCTACCTCTTCTGCCCCCCAGTGCATCCCTAACATCCTGCTGTTTCTTACTGTTGGTGTATTTTTTTAAATAATTTATTTATTATTTTTATTTTATGTGTGCGAATGTATTGCCTGTATGTATGTGAGTGCACCTGTGTTGTGCAATGCCACGGAGGTCAGAAGAGGCTGTCAGATTCCCCTGGAACTGGAGTTAAAGACGATTCAGAGTCGCCATGTGGGTGCTGGGAATCGAACCCGGGTCCTCTGCAAGAACACTCAGTGCTCCTAACCGCTGAGCCATCTCTCCAACCCCTGTTGGTGTATTTTTAAATGATTGATTAACTTACTGTTTTGAGAATAGGTCTCACTGGGTAAACCAGCTGACCTCAGAATCACTGACCTCATATCCATGATCTCCCTGTGTCTTCTCCCCAAGTTCAGTTATCAAAGGCGTGTACCACCAAGCCCATCTACTTGTATAAGCTCTGAGCACTATCCCTGGAGTTGCCTTTAGTGCCTCATCCTCCTGCAGCTGGTATTTCCCACTGTATGGGATACTATACACTGTTTTTGTACCCACTAGTTGACAGACATCATGGCGCTTCCTTTCAGAGGACAGTGCTTTATGAAGCTGTGCTGAAGTTTTGTGTAGGTTGTATGTGTACTGCTTTCCCTTGGGGGTATGTACCTGGGAATGGCCGTGCTGCAATAGACAGTCCTGTATTAACTTTTCAGAAGACTGGAAATTCCTACCAGCTGCCTGTGTGGGTCCCAGTTGTCCACCACCTCACCACCGTTAACATCTCAAGTTTTGGGTTCAGCCCTCCTTTGTGGTTTAAATTTACATTTCTCTCCCTGGTACTGTGTAACATCTTTTTTCTTTTGAGATTTATTTTATTTTTGCCAGATGTGGTAGCACAGATCTTTATTCCTAGCACCCAGGAGGCAAGGCAGTTAACTGTGAAACCAAGAGCAGCCTGGTCTATTTGTTGAGTTCCAGGCTAGCTGGGACTACAGGAGACCCTGTCTCAAAAATAAGCAAACAGAAAAAAATTCAAGATTTATTTTACTTTAATTGTGTGTATGGGCATGTCTCAGTGCCTAAGGAAGTCAGAGGCATTGGATCCCTGAGATCCAAAGTAACAGGCAGTTGTAAATTGCCCAAGATGGTGCCAGGAATTGAACACGAGTCCACTGTAAAAGCAGTAAGCTCTCTCAGCCACTGGCGCCATCTCTCCCCATCATTTTATTTTATTTAAAAAAATATTTATTATTTTTATTTTATGTGTATAATTGTATTGCCTGCATGTATGTAAGTGTGCCCATGTTGTGCAGTTCCTACACAGGATAGAAGAAGGCATTGGATACCCCCTGGAACTGGAGTGATGGATGATTGTTAGTTACCATGTGGGTGCTGGGAATCAAACCTGGGTCCTTGGCAAAAAAAGCCAGTGCTCTTAACCAGTGAGTCATCTCTCCAGCTCCCCCTCACATTATTTTTTAATTATACATATGTATGTACATCTTGAGTATGAATATGTATATGTAAGTACAGTGCCCACAGAGGTCAAAAGAAGGCATCATCTCCCCTGGATCTAGAGTTACAGGCAGTTGTGAGCCACCCAGTGTGGGTGGCAGGAACTGAACTCAGGTCTGGTCTTTATGAGACGGGGTCTCCTTGTAGTCCCAGGTAGCCTGAAACTTGCTATGTAGACCATACTGGCCTCAATCTCACAAAGATCCTCCTGCCTCTGCCTCCAGTGCTGGGACTAAAGACATGTGCTAGCACACCCAATAAGATGTGTTATCTTAATTGCAAGAATTGTTTTGTTTTTTTCTGTGGGTTTTTTTAAATTTTTGCTTTTTCACTTTTTTTTTACTTTTGGGGCATTGTGTATTCATTTTGTGGGGCACACCCATGCCGTGGTTTTCTGTTGTTGTTTTTGGTGGTTTTTTTTGTTTGGGGGGGGGGTTGGTCTTTTTTGAGGCAGGGTCTCCCTGCAGCCCCAGCTGGCCTGGAACTCACTGTGTAGACCAGGCTGGCCTTGAACTCACAGAGATCCACCTGCCTCTGCCTCCCAAGTGCTGGGATTACAGTTGTAGAAGACCAGAGAGCCACCTGCCTCTACCTCCCAAGTTCTGTGATTAAAGGCATGTGTTATCAACACCTAGCCTTTACTTCCTTTTTAAAAAATCTTTCCCCAAAATTACTGTATTATTTTTACTTTGTGTATGTGTTTTGTCTGCATGTTTGTAAGTGTACCACATATGTGCAATGCCTGTGGAGGTCAAAAGAGGGTGTTAGATCCTTCTGAGGTACAGATGACTGTTAGCCACCATGTCGGTTCTGGAAACCGGGTTTTCTGCAAGAGCAGCCAGTGTTTAACCAGACCCTAGTTGTTCTGATTTTGGAACACCAATTTTCCTGTCATCCTTGCTTAAGGGGCTGTGCTTACCTTTTCTGTGTCATTCCAGTTTTTAGTATAAGTACTGCCAAAGTCAGCATATTTCTAAGTTTTCTTATATTTGCATGTGTGTGCGTGCACATGTGGAGGCCAGTATGCCTTCCTCTCTTTCTCCACCCTGTTTGAGAGAGGGTCTCTTCCCTGAACCTGCACTTGCCTATTAGCTATGGCCAGCCATCAAACTCCAGGATTGCCTATCTCTCTCTCTCTCTTTCTCTCTCTCTCTCTCTCTCTCTCTCTCTCTCGCACTCACACACACACACACACACACACACACACACACACACGTTAGATTTCTGCCACCATTCCTAACTTTGATGTGGGTACTGGGTGTCCAAAATCAGTTCCTCAGCATCTACATACTTTATCCATGTAGCCAAGTCCCCAGCCGTCACATTTTTTACTTCATACATTTAGTTATATGATCCATTTTGAGTTACAGTTTTATATATGGTGTGAGGAATGGGCTTCAACCTCACATGTTGTATATAACTTTCCCAACTATCCCGAAAACATTTGTTGAAGAGCGTACTTTTTTTTTTTTTTTTTTTTTTTTTTTTTTTTTTTTGGTCTTTTTGAGACAGGGTCTCCCTGTAGCCCCAGCTGTCCTAGAACTCACTATGTAGACCAGGCTGGCCTTGAACTCACAGAGATCCACCTGCCTCTGCCTCCCAAGTGCTGGGATTAAAGGCGTGCACCACCATACCTGGCTTAAGAGCATACTTTTTATATTCAGCACATCTTATTAAATTTATAAGACAGGGTATGCTGACACATACCTCTCATCCTAGACTCAAAAGGCGTAGATAGGAGGATCAGAAAATCAAGGTCAGCCTGGTCTACATAGTGAGTTCCAGGCCTGCTGGGACTACAGAGAGCCCCTGTCTCAAAAAGACAGGAAAAAAAAAAAAGAAAAAAAAAATGCCGATATATAGTTATAAAAAATCTAAAACTAATCCTCTACTGTGCTGCTGCTGGGCATGTAAATAGTGCCCGTTTTCTAGCTAGCCTTTTTGGTGCTGTTTGTTCCAGAAGCCGTTGAGCTAATTTGAACAGGGCTGGCCCTTATAGTCGGTTTCCAGGGCTGCTGTAATCCATAATACACTACCGTAACTGTGGCCTTTCTCACACACATACATACTCACACACACAAAAAAAACATTTTGTGCTGTTTGAGAACCAGGAATCTGAAAACAAATTGCCATAGGTCATGATCCTTCTCAGGATCCTGTACTGTAGCCTTGGGTCTTCCAGCTTCTACTGACACCAGCAGCTCTTGGCTTGTGGCCACCTCTCTTGCATGGCCTCTTCTGTGCCTCCCTAGATATCATACTCATGTTGAGTTCAGGCCACTGATGCAGAATGATACCCTTCCCAATTCCTAAATGGTCACATCCACAGTGAGAAGGCAATGGTTCCAAAAAGAAGATTGGCTCTGTAGCTCAGTGATAGAGAGCCGGTCTGGCATACACGAGGCCCATGGTTCAAGTCCGCTACCCCCTAAAAAACATTAACTGGTTGTATGTGCACTGCTCATGCTTGGGTGTGCAGCAGGGCCCACAGCTATCTGTCCTGCCGCTCCCTGGGCCTTCACACTCTTATCTGGCCCCACTGTACTTGTACTTGTCACCTCAGAGAAATTTGGCCTAATCACTCTCCTCACCATACTTGTGATGTGTGACCATCAGAGAGCCAGGGTCCATCTGTCCAAGCACCCCCCAAAGCCTGCCTTCCATCCCCTGGGTTCAGATCTCTGAAAATGAAATGATTATTAGCATGCCCTTTATTACAGCCGCTTCACCTGGGCAGTCCACCTGATGAGGGAGAGGAACAGTAAAGCAGAGCATGGCCATGCGCAGCGCAGGGATCAGGGACTTGCACTGCAACAGAAAGCTGGGCTGGAGAGACGGCTCAGCACTTAGGACCACTGGCTGGTCTACTAGTGGCCCCACATTAGACTGGTCACAAATCTTTTTGTGGGGAGGGTTTAATATTTCATTTATTATTTTTATTTTATGTGTATGTGTGTATTGCCTGCTTGTAGGTAAGTGCACCCATGTGGTGCAGTGCCGCAGAGGACACAAGAGGCTGTCGGATCCCCTGGAACTGGAGTTACAGACAGTTGTTAGCTGCCATGCGGGTGCTGGGATTCTAACCCAGGTCTTCTGCAAGAACAGTCAATGTTCTTAACCGCTGAGCCATTTCTCCAGCCCTTGGGCGGGGGTAATGTGTATTTTTACTGAGTTTTTGTGCATTTCATACAATAAATCTTAATCATATTTAGACCCCTTTCACATAGCCACCTCCCCACTGGATTTCATGCATTCTGTCATATATGTGAAGGTCTATCTGGTCAAGATTTCTTTCCTAGATGTTCCTCGGTGCAAGTTCATCCACTGGAATCTAGTCAGCCTATCTAGAGTCATTCCTTTGAAGAAGATCTACTCTTTTAATATTTTATTAATTATTTTTATGTGTATGTGTGTATTGCCTGCATGTAGGTAAGTGCACCCATGTCATGCAATGCCCATGGAGAACAGAAGAGGCTGTTGGATCCCCTGGAACTAGAGTTATAGACATTTGTTTGCTGCCATGTGGGTACTGGCATTCGAACCAGGGTGTCCTGCAAGAACAACCAGTGTTTTTAACCATTGAGCCGTCTCTTCAGCCCCGACTCTTGTTTTCTTATGTTCATGCATCAACCCTGGGTCTTACAGTCTTTCCACCCCTTCTTCCATGGTGGTCCCTGAGCCACGGGTGGGTGAGGTTTAATACAGGAGTCCTATCCAGGAACACACACTCTGCAGTCTCTTATTCTCTACACCTTGACCAGTTGTGGCTTCTCTGTGCATTACACACTGTTAGATGAGGAAACTTTGCCAAGGAGAGCTGAGGGATGCACTGATAACCTCTCTATCCTGTTTCACTGTGTTCCCTGACCCTTGGGTATAGAGGATCCTTGTAAATGTGTCATTTAGGGCTGGGCATCTCTCAGACTGACACATACTCTCCTGTGTTTGACCAGGTGTGGAACTGTGTAATAGTCTCCATCTGTTGGAAAAAGAAACTTTGATGAGTGGTATACTTGTCAGGGTAGTGGGCAGGTCTATGGCAGTCAGAGGTGCCAAGGGCAAGGCAGGAGTGGGAACAGCCTGTGGAGGGTCTAACAAACTAAGCTGGAGAATGTAGCTAGTCTGGGTACAGGTGATCAGGATGCAGTGGACAAAGCCTTTTAAAAGAAAGAACTGGTGGGGATTGAATTAGGGTGCCTAGTACAACAGAAGATTCGGCAGACAAGGTAGGCTGTGCTGTCAGGGCTGCAGGTGCAGCTCCCTGACCGAGTGCTTAGCTAGGCACCTGGGCCCCATCCTCAGCACCACAGAACAGAGAACAGGAAAGTAAATGATACTATAGAAAACGAGAGGAAACTGGGCATGGTGGCACACATTTTTAATCCCAGCACCCAGGAAGCAGAGGCAGGGAATCTCACAGAGATCCAGGCCAGCTGGGGCAACAGGGAGACCCTGTCTCAAAACCAAACAAAATGATAGGAAAGCTCGGCATAGTAGCGCGTGCCTGTAGGCCTGTTATCCAAGTGTGTGTATTGGAGGTGGAGACGGGAGGTTCAGGGACTACATGAGACCCTGCTTCAAAAGAAAACAATAATACAATAAAATAAAAAGGGACAGGAGAAATACCCACAATAAGAGCATTTGGTGTTGGCTGTTTGGGGTGCTCCTGTGAGCACAATGAGGGTTCTGGGAATGATGGGTGCCAGCACTCTGTACTGAACTATATAAAACAGTTTATATTCAGTTTACCATAATTTCAAAAGGTAGATGGAAGGGCTGGTGAGGCAGCTCAGGGAATGGCACTTGCCACCTAGCCTGGTGCCCTGACTTCAATCCCTGGGAAGAAGAGAGCAGACTCGGACAAGCTGTTCTCTTGACTCTCACACGTGTGCTGTGACACATGTACAAAGCATACATGCACATGGTTTTTTAATGTAAGTAGATGGGAAGAGCTTGGGATAGGCTCTTCCAGGTGTCATGTGCAGGCCACCTCCCTCAGGGTTCCCATGCACTGAAACTCCAGTCCCTAACTGACAATCTAGCAGGTAGTCTTCTGAGGATAGCACTGGGTGGGGCATCCATTTGGGGCAGCTCTGGCCTTTGCTTGCCAGAAATTAGTGGTAAGTGTCATGCCTTGAGTCAGCCATGCTGGAAGGCCATCAGTGTGGTGGCCTGCACCCCACCCCCACCCCAGCCAGGCCCCAGGAGCACGTGTCGAGGCCTCTCTTTGTCGACTTGGGTGCTGGCTGTCCTATTTTACCACTATTGACCCTGAAGGCCATCGAGGAAGGCACGCTGGAGGAGATCGAAGAGGAGGTCCGGCAGAAGAAATCCTCACGGAAGCGCAAGCGCGACAGCGAGGCCGGCTCCTCCACCCCAACCACCAGCACACGTAGCCGAGATAAGGATGAAGAGAGCAAGAAGCAGAAGAAGCGTGGCCGGCCACCTGCTGAGAAGCTGTCCCCAAACCCACCCAGCCTCACCAAGAAGATGAAGAAGATTGTGGATGCTGTCATCAAGTACAAGGACAGGTAAGCAGAGCCAAGCCGCCTGGGGCTGTCAGTGCAGAAGCAGAGCCTGGGGCCTTGTATTTACCAGTACTGAATGCTTGCCCCCACAGGGAAGCACACAGGTGTCACCCACAATGGTGGGAGGGAGGGACAGGCGTGTAAGCATCAGCAAAAGTGCTGAGGGGCAGTTGCTCTGAGGAAGGGACAGGCCAGAGATGTCTCCCCCACAGTAGCAACAGCAGGTACAGCTGTGCTCTGGGCTTTGGCAAGAAGAACACCATGGCTTCTAAGCACATGGCTGGGTGGACCATGGCAAGAAGGCCACATGGCCATACTTTCCTCCTATGTCTGGTACCCTAGCCACCCTCTTGGCTCTTTCTGTGCCCTTGCGGTTGGCTGTGTGTTGGGAGGTTGTAGACCCAGTTCCTTGCCAGGATCCACTGGCTGGGGCTGGTAGTGGACTGTGCCATCCAAATGTGGGTGGTATGTAATGTTTAAGGAAGTCAGCTGTGATTCCTAGGCTGACCACATGCACATAGCACAGACTTGAGCATCAGGCCTTGAACTCCCTTGATGTCCTTTCCCTGACGTCTTCTCTGACACACCCTGGCTAGTGCCATCCCTCTAATGAAGCAGTTTGGACAGTTTGATGTTTCTAGTGCTGTGAGAAGCAAGGCATAGGAGGGTTTTATCAGCGTAAGGGGACAGTGAGCAAACTGCAAGCCTTCAGCACAACCCAGGAAGTCTTAGCTAGTGATACATTGTAGGGACTGTGATTATAACACCTAAATCAAGGAGTGCAAATTGGCCTTCAAGAGATTAGTTTATTGGGCCAGTGAGCTCAGTATGTGAAGGCACTTACTGTCAAGCCTTATGACTAAGTTCCATCCCCAAGTCCATGAAAAGAGCATGGACTTCAATTTGTTGCCTTCACCTCTTGAGAAAAAGTCCAGACCCAGACACAAAAAAAAGTTGTTGTGTTATAGGGAATAGCTTACTTAAATGCTTATTTAATTTAATTTAATTTATTTATTTATTTATGTTTTTTTGAGACAGGGTCTCCTTATAGCCCCAGCTGTCCTGGAACTCACTATGTAGACCAGGCTGGCCTCGAACTCACAAAGATCCACCTGCCTCTGCCTCCCAAGTGCTGGGATTAAAGGCGTGCGCCACCAAGCCCGGCTAAATACTTATTTTAAATATGATGCCTTTATACCTCCTTCCCCTTTGGCACCCTCCTATAGCCCCCCCCCCAACTGGAGTTCATACATTCTGTCCTTTGTGTTAAAGCTAGTGTCCCCAGATGTCCCTCAGTTCATCCACTAGGATCTAGTCAGCCGGTCTAGAGTCCCATCCTTTGAGATCAGCTCTTCCTCAGGGAAGTACACTTTAAAACCAGACTGACTCCATCTAGCGTAGTGGCACCCGCCTCTAATCCTGTCACTTGGAAGGCTGAAACAGGTGGATCTCTGTGAAATTTAGGCAGCGTGAGACCCTGTCTCCGGCGGGGGGGGGGGGGGGGATGTACTGAGATGGCTTAACTGGTAAGGGCACTTGCTGCACTGGAGTCTAACATGACAGAAGAGATCTGACTCCCACAGCTTGTCCTCTGATATCCACATGTGTGCCCATGCACACAGTAAATAAAGTATAAAATAGCAAAATACACAGCACTCGGGAGGCAGAGGCCAAATACATTGAGAAGCACTGGAGGACTGGCTCAGCTAAAAGCACTGGTTGCTCTTGGGAGAGGACCCAGGTTCAGTTCCCAGCATTCACATGGCAGCTAACAGCCATCTTTAACTCCAGTTCTAGGGTATCCAACACCCTCTTCTGGTCTCCATGAGTATTGCATGCACAGGTGCACTTGTGACCCCCCCCCCAAGCTATCCTGGAACTCACTAAGTAGACCAGGCTGGCCTAGAGCTCAAAGAGATCCGCCTGCCTCTGCCTCCCAAGTACTGAGATTAAAGGCATGTGCCACCACACCCACCAAAAAAAAATTTTTTTTTTTTTTTTTTTTTTTTTTTTTTTTTTTTGCAGCCCTAGCTGTCTTAGAACTTGTTATATAGACCAGGCTGGCCTCGAACTCACAGAGCTCTGCCTGGCAAGCAAAATAAATTTTTTTTTTAATGTGTATTCATGTATTGCCTGCACGTAGGTAAGTGCACCCGTGTCGTGCAATGCCCGAGGAGGACAGAAGAGGCTGTTGGATCCCCTGGAACTGAAGTTATAGACAGTTGTTAGCTGTCATGTGTTTGTTAACTCAGACACAGTAGGCAGAACCTGTCCCCAGGCTGTCCCCAGACTCTGTGGTGCACAGAACAATACAGGATCCACAAGGCTCCATGTGCACTGAGGCGTGTTGTGCAGATCCTTCCTCCTGTGGAATGAGGAGGAGGAAACTTGACTTGTGCAGTTCCATATGCCCAGTACTGCCTCAGGGCTTGGCTTGGGTGGCCGCTGGCAAACTTTGGGATAAGAGTAGGAATGAGTGTCATGCAGAGGGGACAGTGTCTGCAGAGGACTGGAGGCCAGAGGGCACTGGTGTCTAGGACACAGGAAGCTGTAACAAGCTATGGCTTCTAGGAGTGTGCACCAGCACCTAGGAATCCCCAAGGACCCTGTGCCAACCATCTGCCCACAGCTAAGCAAGCATCTCCCTGCAGTCATGGCTCTCTCTCCATGTTAAAGAACATAGCGCTGCAGCACACACAAGCCAAAGTCCACACTGCAAAAAAATGGGAAATGAGAGTCTTTATTTTTTAAAACCAAAACATGTGAAGATTAAGGCTGGACCCCAGGATTGGTCCCTCTAACAAAGGGCCAGACTTGGTCCTGGCTCATGGAGAAGCCAAGGCAGCAAGCAGATCTTAGTATGTGAAGGCAGGTTTCAGAGCAGTGTGCACAGTAGGGGCGCACCACCATGGCCTCTGCCCCAAGGGGGTCACTATGGACTTTAAGCTGTCCCCAGGGCTACAGACCTGCCAGGTGCTGGGAACCTTCAGGGAAGGTTCATAGGGAAGAACCCTCGATGCCATGTACGCTGTGTCCATGGTGGTGCTGAGCCTCTAACTTAAGACTATGCTGAGAACATGTTCGACCTCCCAGATAGACACTGGATTTCAGTTCAGGGCCAAGGGAGATGGTATCTGCAGTTGACACTCAGGTGCTGAACTCCAAGGCACTTATGGACCCTGTTCCCCCTCTGCCTGGAGGTTTTTGTGTGCTGTAGAAATCGGAATTCTGCCATATCCCTGTGCCTCAGTTTCTAAGTCTGCACACAGGAGTGGGAGGTCTACATGGGGTCTGGAGAAGCTGGATTCAGAATATGTGGGCTGGGAGAAAGTAGAGGAGCTCCAGCACTGACCAGGGATTCTCTGTAGGCTGACTGCTCTCTACCAATCCCTACAGAGTCTGGAGCCAGGTGCTTTTCAGGGGAATAGGCTGTGCTTTGTGTAAGAAAAAAACAGACAAGCAGTGGGTACTTCTGCAGTTTACATCAGTCCTTCCAGGTAGAGACAACCTGCCTCTGTCCTCAGGCCCCTCCAGGGAAGGGAGTTGGGAAGGGCTAATGCAAGGGATTAGCCCCAGGGCTCTCCAGCTTTCAGCCTTCCAGTGACATCTGGCCTTGCCCTTTTAGGGTTGTGTACATTTTAACTGGAAGTTCTGGCCACAGGCTCCAGGTCTGTAGTCAGTACCATCTGCTGGCCTTTCACAGACTTTGGCCAAAGGAGGCATCACGTGAGCCCCAAGCCAGTGCCTGGGCTTCCAGTGTGACTAAATCATGAATGGAATAGCCCTGGGCCTAGAGATTGTGAGCTTACCTTAGACTCTACCAGAAGCAGCTCCACCTGTTCTACTTGTAAGGCTGATTGCATTTTAGGGCTTCATGCCCGGGCCAAGAAAAGCAGGCAGCTGGTGTTCAATGGCACGGAGGCCAAAGATTCATGGTAACAAGTAGGAATGACAGGCGAGCTGTATGGAGTCCTGAGCAGCTGGATCCTCCCTCTCTCTCCCCCTGAGTCCACAGTAGCCTGTACCCCTGGGAAAGCCATTCAGCAGAGGTTCCCAAGTCCCTCTTGCTGAACCCCTGCCTGAGCCGTGCAGGTATACCACAGAGGCACAGTCTCCACACCCACTTATCCCCACACACCCCACCTCATTCCTCCCACTAGGCCAGAGCATCTTAGAGCCCCTTTGCTCACAGGGTCAGAATTCTGCCACCTCAAAAGAGGATTGAAGTGTACTCTGTTGTTTGGGTTACTGCCTTTGATAAATGCTATCGATAAATTTAGTGTGGGCTCCTGTTAGGCAGCACTGGGACAGGTCTTGGGCCTCCCTCTGGCCTTGCCTCTGGCCTCAGTGACCTGGGGAAGCTATGCCAGCCTTTCCATGGACCTGTGGTCACCTGTTTCATTCTCAGCCTATGACAGCAAAGTCCTGCCTGTGCTGTAGTGTTGAAAAGCCATTGTGTGCATGCCTAGGAAAGCAGCCACCACTAGCACCGTAGACGTCTATTATCCCAGGTTGTGCTCAGGTTCTCTTCTCCAAATGAAGGTGTTGAGGTCCTTAAGGTTCATGGAGGAGCATCAGAGTGTTTTGAGGTGTGTTTGTTTGTTTTGGTCTTTTTGAGACAGGGTCTTCCTGTAGCTCCAGCTGGCCTGGAACTCACTATGTAGACCAGGCTGGCCTAGAATACACACAGATCCACCAGCCTCTGCCTCCCTGCTGAGATTAAAGGCATGTGCCTCCACACCCAGCCTGTATCAGAGTTTCTTAAACTTCAAGTTCAGAGCTGGGTCTGGTGGTGCAGGCCTTTAGTCCCACCACTTGGGAGGCAGAGCCAGGCGGATTTCTTTAAGTTCAAGGCCGGCCCCTTCTACATAGTGAGTTCCAAGTCCTGTCTCAAAAAGACCAGAAGGGGAAAAAAAGCAGACCTCAAGTTCAGACTCCATTGTTTACCTGTGACAATCTGTGTCTTGAATTCCTTTAATCCCAGCCCCTTTCATGCTGCTCCT